CGGTCAAATGCAGTATTTGCAAAGCATGTGCACCGTTTTATTACAATATATATATTGATTATTGATCAGATCGTCTTGACTGGACGCTGCCATTTTGTTTGAAGCAAATGCAAGTGATACATGAGGTGGGAGCTGATTGGTCCATAGGAGAGGCATAGAAGGGACATAACTCATGCGCTATGATCGAGACCAGAAATTCCAGCCAAGTTTGGCAAGGGTGGAAACTGGACTTTTAAAGTCAGTTAACTCTCTTGCCAAATCTGACAGCATGAGCGTGTATTTCTCTAGCTACAAATGTAGCATAAAGATCTGAACCGTTTCCATGTTATGATCCAGGATAAATCATATTAAAGGTATTATTCTCTTCATAACAAACAAATGTATACAATATATCTGTTTATTATAGGGTGGGGATATCTGTTTGCATGTTATGGTCAAAGTTCTAACTCCTTTGGGAGTGTCGGACAGGTGAACAGAAGGGCCAGTCCTGGTAGCATATGTGCATTCCTCTCATTATACTCTCAATTGTAGATATGGTTATATGGTGGGGATCTTAACTGTGTCCAAGTTATAAACTCTTTATAGCCCTGCCCTTAGTCCCCGGGAGTGGGGGAAAGGTTCAGCCCCTCAGCTTCCAACAAAATATGGTTGATATCTATCTTTAGTTCCAGAGAAGAATGCATTTAGAGCAATATAGCCAAATTACCCCTCTTTGGCCCCACCCCTCAGTGCCTTGGAGGGTCAGGCCCTCCATTTGTACAAATTCATAAAATAAACCTAGTGATTCAGACATTGAATAGGATGTTACCAATCTCAATATGAAGGAAAGGGCAAACTTTCTAAATTACACTCATTTATGAGAGTGACAATGGCATATTCAAAATAGTAATGGCACAGATAGTTGCTGGTACCTTAGAATTTAAAAAAAAAGAAAAGTACCTTGTGATGATGCAAATCATACTAAGCCAGTGATCAGTAGTGATAAATGTTCTTTCACTTAAGTGATGTAAAACATGTAAAATGAACATACAAATCTAATGTACAGTATGATTCATAAAATTAACCTGGGGATTCAGACATTGAATAGGAAGTTACCAATCTCAATATAAAGGAAAGGTTCAAACTTTCTAAATAACACTCATTTATTGTAGCTCATGGTGAAATGATATTCATTGAGTTGAAGTTGGATTAACAGTATTCTATTTGTTGACACACCTACACCTATATTCCCAAGGGCACTCCTAAGCCAGCTTGGCAAGTGCCCTGGACACACTTGTAAAACATACAGACAATAGACAGATATATTTTATTTATGTCTCACATAGTTAGGCTAAAGAAAAACAATTGTCTTGGTTCTCAGGCACTGCCCGCATCACCATAAAGTTTGCCACATTTTTTTTGTCCTTAAACATCCTTAAATATTCCAAGACCAACGGTAGTCAAATACTGTATTCCAGTATTTACTCATCAAGGAATACATTTATGTAGGAGACTCTTTCCGAGGTTGATTGTACACAATTGTTTATTGATTACACAACTGTTTATTGGTTACATACTAGTTTGAACACCGCCCCGCCTGCATTATATTTTCAAAAAAAGTTGCCTGAGAACCAATTCTTTTATTTTTTAAGCCTTACATACAAACAGCACATGCAAAGTAAAACACATTTAACATTACAGCACTTGCAGTAATGAGTCTCTCAGTTAGGACAGATTGACACAAATGTACATAAACAATACAATCTGCATGCATATTACACAGAATACTAACAAAGTGTGAAAACATACAAAACCCCATGACATAAAACATCAGATCATTGTTTTAAAATATGGCATACATTTCTATCCCTCAAGTTAACTTGACAGTTTAAGTGTTGCACCCTGCCTAGGTCCTTTCTACATTTTATGGTTTACTCATCAAGGAATACATTTAATGTCATTTATGTAGGGAAACCCTTTCCGAGGTTGATTGTACACAATTGTTTATTGATTACACAACTGTTTATTGGTTACATACTCGTTTGAACACCACCGCTCCCACCCACCCCCCAAAAAAGACACCGCCCACCTGTACTTTATTTTTTTTTAAAGTTGCCGGAGAACCAATTCTTTTCTTTTTTTAAGCCTTACATACAAACAGCACATGCAAAGTAAAATACATTTAACATTACAGCACTTGCAGTAATGAGTCTCTCAGTTGTTAGGACAGATTGACACAAATGTACATAAACAATACAATCTGCATGCTCATACACAGAATACTAACAAAGTGTGAAAATACTACAAAACCCCATAACATAACTTTAGGGTTTATCTTTGCTAACCTATTTAGCTTGGGTCTGTACAAATAAACATAAAATTATTGTGTAGGTCGCTATTTCGCCATTGTATTTGACATGAAGTAGTTTGGGTCGGTCAGTTGAATGAGATAATATTAATGGAATAACTGTGCAGAATGTTTCATATTTTTTAAACCCAACTCAGTCAGTCAGTCTTCATAAGGATAACATGCCTACAGCGATGTCACTATGGAGTGCAGTGAAGCCAGCAAACTATGGACATCATCAGTTGCCTGCAAGGTAACCGACCTGCGAAGATCCAGGTAGAGAATGGGCCTTCAGCAACACATGCTTATCGTAACAGGCGACTATGCTTGTCGTTAGAGGCGACTTACAGGATTGGGGGGTCAGGCTTAGCTGCATATCCTTATCGCGTAGAAGGATGCTCATAATGTCAATCACTGGGTTGTCTGGTCCAGACAGGATTATTTACAGACCACTGTCATATGGCTTGAATATTGCTGAGTGCAGCGTTAAACAACAAACAAGCAAATCAAATAAAACCCAAGTTAACCGAATCATTACGTTGGGAGGACTGAGGCTCAGCATCATCAGTGCTTTAGCATGGAACATAAAAATATGTACTCTTCAAAACTACTGAGACACGAGACAATATAAGTTGTAGCAGCATCCCGCGTTACGTTTTATTCCACAAACCGGAGGTGGAGGCTCTTGCTATAAAACCTAAAGCGGGACACATAAAACCCCATGTACCCCTCATGATCCTGCTACAAACTTATATTGTCTCATGTCTCTTGTAAAAGAATTAAAAGAAATTCAAAATTGATAGAAAACAGCTGTTTGATTGAGCTGAGGCTATGACACATGCTTTCCATTGCCTGGGAAAATGGATGCAGCTTTTTGCTTTGAAGCGAGGTATAAGGGATTTATTCTGCCTCTCAGAAATCCAAAATGCTGCCTAATTTGCCCACGGTGGGGTATAAGAGATTTATGCCCCCGCTGAGAAATTTATTGCCCTCCAAGGCGGGATACATAGTATTTTATCAAGATCATGTGGACCAATCAGATCTCATCATTCTGACATGGAGGTTTGATAAAACATTTTATTCGGTACTTGTCCAGTTGCCTGTGATACACTTGGCATAATGCAGGCGTAGTGAGAAGAACATAACTATGATCACTGAATGAATTCCAAAATTGCCAAGAAAAGCTTTCAAATTACACAAAAATAGTATGGTAAATTTATGTCAGCATTGATATTCAAACGTTTTCTACAGAACTACTGACGTCTAAAAACTAACACTTCAACAACTTCAATGAAATGTGATGTCATCATCAGGAGAAATGTGCTTATAATTGAGCTCCCCAGTCTGTCAATTTCATAGGAGAAGAGGTGAGGTGAAATGGGGTTTAACGTCGTGTCCAAGATTATTGCACTTATATAGCGACGTGCATGCAAGTTTGTGTGTGTGGCTGCTTGTACTTTTCGGACTGATGCCGATTTATAGTGCTAGCCCACTGAGATGCCATGCCGCTGTTTAAGATGAATATCCCACTCAGACACAGTATACTGACTCCGAGCCGACCAGTCCTTGTTTTAGCCCCTGAATGCCGAGTGCCAGACAGGGTAACAACAAGTACCATCTTTTAATGTCTTTTGGTATGACAAAGCCTTGGATCAAACCCTGGACCTTCAGCTCTCCGGGCAGACGGTCTACCTCTCACTGAAGAAGAAGTTTACAGAGTCAACATGCCTTTGAAAGATTTAAGAGCATGGACAAAACAAGGTCAAGAGTTTAACATATCAGCAAAAACCAAACATAAAAGTGTGTTTAGCTACACTTCTAACTACACATATACCAAGTTTCATTACATTTTGTAACAGATATGGCTGACTTATGGCATAAGATGGGCACACCTAAACATTTGTGTGAGTGCCCTGAGTCACACTTGAGAAACAAATACACAAACCCACATTGTAATACAGTGACATACAACACATACAAAGTAAACTAGATTAGACGAGCCATTCCATGCGGAGTTACAAGAGACTAACACAAAGGTACATATACATTTACAATTTTTACTTGCATAAAAAGTCTAAATTCATATTGAAAAAAACGATAATATAAAACTAGGGGTATGGGTGGTCTAGACAGGAATATGGGAGGTCCAGAGAGGGGATGTGGGTGGTCCAGACTGGGGATATGGGTGGTCCAGACAGGAATATGGGTGGTCCAGACTGGGGATATGGTGGTCCAGACAAGGGTATGGGTGGTCCAGACAGGGGATGTGGGTGGTCCAGACTGGGGATATGGGTGGTCCAGACAGGAATATGGGTGGTCCAGACTGGGGATATGGTGGTCCAGACAGGGTATGGGTGGTCCAGACAGGGGATGTGGGTGGTCCAGACAGGAATATGGGTGGTCCAGATAGGGGGTGTGGGTGGTCCAGACAGGGGTATGGGTGGTCCAGACAGGAATATGGGTGGTCCAGATAGGGGATGTGGGTGGTCCAGACTGGGGATGTGGGTGGTCCAGACAGGAATATGGGTGGTCCAGATAGGGGATGTGGGTGGTCTAGACTGGGGATATGGGTGGTCCAGATGGGGGAGATGGTGGTCCATAAAGGGGTATGGTGATTCAGGATGGGGGGATAATGGTGATCCAGCCTAGGAATGTGGGTGGTCCGGATGAGGGGCTATGGGTGGTCCAGACTGGTGATGTGATGGTCGAGACAGGGGTATGGATGGTCCAGACTGGGGGTATGGATGGTCCAGACTGGAGGCATGGATGGTCCAGACTGGGGGCATGGTTGTCCAGACTGGGGGTATGGATGGTCCAGACTGGGGGCATGGTGGTCCATACAGAGGGCATGGTTGTCAAGACTGGGGGCATGGTGGTCCATACAGAGGGTATGGTGGTCCATACAGAGGGCATGGTTGTCCAGACTGGGGGCATGGTGGTCCATACGGAGGGTATGGTGGTTCATACAGAGGGCATGGTTGTCCAGACAGGGGGCATAGTGGTCCATACAGAGGGCATGGTTGTCCAGACTGGGGGCATGGTGGTCCATACAGAGGGCATGGTTGTCCAGACTGGGGGCATGGTGGTCCATACAGAGGGCATGGTTGTCCAGGCTGGGGTATGGTGGTCCATACAGAGGGTATGGTTGTCCAGACTGGGGGCATGGTTGTCCAGACTGGGGGTATGGATGGTCCAGACTGGGGGCATGGTGGTCCATACAGAGGGCATGGTTGTCCAGACTGGGGGCATGGTGGTCCAGACAAGGGTATGGGTGGTCCAGACAGGGGGCATGGTGGTCCATACAGAGAGCATGGTTGTCCAGACTGGGGGGATGGTGGTCCATACAGAGGGCATGGTTGTCCAGACTGGGGGCATGGTGGTCCATACAGAGGGTATGGTTGTCCAAGCTGGGGGTATGGTGGTCCATACAGAGGGTATGGTTGTCCAAGCTGGGGGTATGGTGGTCCATACAGAGGGCATGGTTGTCCATGCAGAGGGCATGGTGGTCCATACAGAGGGTATGGTGGTCCATACAGAGAGTGGTGGTCCAGACTGGGGGCATGGTTGTCCAGACTGGGGGCATGGTTGTCCAGACAGAGGGCATGGTTGTCCATACAGGGGGCATGGTGGTCCAGACTGGGGGCATGGTTGTCCAGGCTGGGGGTATGGTGGTCCATACAGAGGGCATGGTGGTCCAGACTGGGGGCATGGTTGTCCAGACTGGGGGCATGGTTGTCCAGACAGAGGGCATGGTTGTCCATACAGGGGGCATGGTGGTCCAGACTGGGGGCATGGTTGTCCAGACTGGGGGCATGGTTGTCCAGGCTGGGGGTATGGTGGTCCATACAGAGGGCATGGTTGTCCAGACTGGGGGCATGGTGGTCCATACAGAGGGTATGGTTGTCCAAGCTGGGGGTATGGTGGTCCATACAGAGGGCATGGTTGTCCATGCAGAGGGCATGGTGGTCCATACAGAGGGTATGGTGGTCCATACAGAGAGTGGTGGTCCAGACTGGGGGCATGGTTGTCCAGACTGGGGGCATGGTTGTCCAGACAGAGGGCATGGTTGTCCATACAGGGGGCATGGTGGTCCAGACTGGGGGCATGGTTGTCCAGACTGGGGGCATGGTTGTCCAGGCTGGGGGTATGGTGGTCCATACAGAGGGCATGGTGGTCCAGACTGGGGGCATGGTTGTCCAGACTGGGGGCATGGTTGTCCAGACAGAGGGCATGGTTGTCCATACAGGGGGCATGGTGGTCCAGACTGGGGGCATGGTTGTCCAGACTGGGGGCATGGTTGTCCAGGCTGGGGGTATGGTTGTCCATACAGAGGGCATGGTGGTCCAGACTGGGGGCATGGTTGTCCAGACTGGGGGCATGGTTGTCCAGACTGGGGGCATGGTTGTCCAGGCTGGGGGTATGGATGGTCAAGACTTGGGGTATGGATGGTCCAGACTGGAGGCATGGTTGTCCAGACTGGGGACATGGTTGTCATGGCTGGGGGCATGGTTGTCCAGACTGGGGGCATGGTTGTCCAGGCTGGGGGCATGGTTGTCCAGACTGGGGGCATGGTTGTCCAGGCTGGGGGCATGGTTGTCCAGGCTAGGGGCATGGTTGTCCAGACTGGGGACATGGTTGTCCAGACTGGAGGCATGGTTGTCCAGACTGGGGACATGGCTGTCCAGACTGGAGGCATGGTTGTCCAGGCTGGGGGCATGGTTGTCCAGGCTGGGGGCATGGTGGTCCATATAGGGTATATGGTGGTCCAGTGGCAATTTTCAGTCCCTTTAATTTGACAGGATATGCAGGCCTTTGACTTGTATCACAGATTTGGATTGTCATAGATTTATGGATTATGATCCATGGCTTGTCATACCCATCAAGGAAACATTTTGTTCCAATGTCAAGTTGAAATAGTAAACACAGCATGTTTATAGCCTGCATGAGACAAGGGAATCACTATACATTGTTGACCCAACATATTTGTAACTGGTACTGAAAGATGTCCATTCAACATCAGTACTTAAAGCAATATCCCACCAAGTTTTCAGGTAGAATTAGCCTTGATAATGGGACTGCAGGCACCAATGGTCTTAAATGGAGGCAAGTTGGTCGATTTCAGGACAAGAAAGTTTGACTAAAGCTTCTCTGCTCAATCAAAGTTTATCTTGTATGTCAATCTACCAGAATCATATCATTACACTCTATACACTGTTGCCTTGCAGCACAGTGGAGAGGTGTTTCACCCTCCTTGTTCTTGATTCCTACATCAGCTCCCTTCTCAACCAGTGCTTGTACTACTTCATGAGAGTGGGGTTTATCAGACAACACACTACAGTGTAAAGCTGTATCACCATCACTATCCTGGGCATTTACATCTGACACTGGAAGCAACAGCTTAACACACTCTACACACTGTTCACTTGCAGCACAGTGGACATGGTGGAGAGGTGTTTTACCCTCCTTGTTCTTGATTCTTACATCAGCTCCCTTCTCAACCAGTGCTTGTATTACTTCATGAGAGTGGGGTTTATCAGACAACACACTACAGTGTAAAGCTGTATCACCATCACTATCCTGGGCATTTACATCTGACACTGGAAGCAACAGCTTAACACACTCTAGACACTGTTGCCTTGCTGCACAGTGGAGAGGTGTTTTATCCTTCTTGTTCTTGATTCCTACATCAGCTCCCTTCTCAACCAGTGCTTGTATTACTTCATGAGAGTGGGGTTTATCAGACAACAAACTACAGTGTAAAGCTGTATCACCATCACTATCCTGGGCATTTACATCTGACACTGGAAGAAACAGCTTAACACACTCCATGCACTGTCGCCTTGCTGCACAGTGGAGAGGTGTTTGATCTTTCTTGTTCTTGATTCCTACATCAGCTCCCTTCTCAACCAGTGTTTGTATTACTTCATGACAGTGGCCTTCATCAGACAACACACTACTGTGTAAAGCTGTATCACCATCACTATCCTGGGCATTTACATCTGACACTGGAAGCAACAGCTTAACACACTCTAGACACTGTTGCCTTGCTGCACAGTGGAGAGGTGTTTCACCCTCCTTGTTCTTGATTCCTACATCAGCTCCCTTCTCAACCAGTGCTTGTACTACTTCATGAGAGTGGGGTTTATCAGACAACACACTACAGTGTAAAGCTGTATCACCATCACTATCCTGGGCATTTACATCTGACACTGGAAGCAACAGCTTAACACACTCTACACACTGTTCACTTGCAGCACAGTGGACATGGTGGAGAGGTGTTTTACCCTCCTTGTTCTTGATTCTTACATCAGCTCCCTTCTCAACCAGTGCTTGTATTACTTCATGAGAGTGGGGTTTATCAGACAACACACTACAGTGTAAAGCTGTATCACCATCACTATCCTGGGCATTTACATCTGACACTGGAAGCAACAGCTTAACACACTCTAGACACTGTTGCCTTGCTGCACAGTGGAGAGGTGTTTTATCCTTCTTGTTCTTGATTCCTACATCAGCTCCCTTCTCAACCAGTGCTTGTATTACTTCATGAGAGTGGGGTTTATCAGACAACAAACTACAGTGTAAAGCTGTATCACCATCACTATCCTGGGCATTTACATCTGACACTGGAAGAAACAGCTTAACACACTCCATGCACTGTCGCCTTGCTGCACAGTGGAGAGGTGTTTGATCTTTCTTGTTCTTGATTCCTACATCAGCTCCCTTCTCAACCAGTGTTTGTATTACTTCATGACAGTGGCCTTCATCAGACAACACACTACAGTGTAAAGCTGTATCACCATCACTATCCTGGGCATTTACATCTGACACTGGAAGCAACAGCTTAACACACTCTAGACACTGTTGCCTTGCTGCACAGTGGAGAGGTGTTTTATCCTTCTTGTTCTTGATTCCTACATCAGCTCCCTTCTCAACCAGTGCTTGTATTACTTCATGAGAGTGGGGTTTATCAGACAACAAACTACTGTGTAAAGCTGTATCACCATCACTATCCTGGGCATTTACATCTGACACTGGAAGCAACAGCTTAACACACTCTACACACTGTTCAATTGCAGCACAGTGGAGAGGTATTTCACCCTCCTTGTTCTTGATTCCTACATCAGCTCCCTTCTCAACCAGTGTTTGTATTACTTCATGACAGTGGCCTTCATCAGACAACACACTACAGTGTAAAGCTGTATCACCATCACTATCCTGGGCATTTACATCTGACACTGGAAGCAACAGCTTAACACACTCTACACACTGTTTACTTGCAGCACAGTGGAGAGGTATTTCACCCTCCTTGTTCTTGATTCCTACATCAGCTCCCTTCTCAACCAGTGTTTGTATTACTTCATGACAGTGGCCTTCATCAGACAACACACTACTGTGTAAAGCTGTATCACCATCACTATCCTGGGCATTTACATCTGACACTGGAAGCAACAGCTTAACACACTCTATACACTGTCGCCTTGCTGCACAGTGGAGAGGTGTTTCACCCTCCTTGTTCTTGATTCCTACATCAGCTCCCTTCTCAACCAGTGTTTGTATTACTTCATGACAGTGGCCTTCATCAGACAACACACTACTGTGTAAAGCTGTATCACCATCACTATCCTGGGCATTTACATCTGACACTGGAAGAAACAGCTTAACACACTCTACACACTGTTTACTTGCAGCACAGTGGAGAGGTATTTCACCCTCCTTGTTCTTGATTCCTACATCAGCTCCCTTCTCAACCAGTGCTTGTATTACTTCATGAGAGTGGGGTTTATCAGACAACACACTACAGTGTAAAGCTGTATCACCATCACTATCCTGGGCATTTACATCTGACACTGGAAGAAACAGCTTAACACACTCTACACACTGTTCACTTGCAGCACAGTGGAGAGGTATTTCACCCTCCTTGTTCTTGATTCCTACATCAGCTCCCTTCTCAACCAGTGCTTGTATTACTTCATGAGAGTGGGGTTTATAATCAGAGAAAATAAAACAATTGTGTAAAGCTGTATTACCATCACTAACCTGGGCATTTACATCTGACACTGGAAGAAACCGCTTAACACACTCTATACACTGTTGCCTTGCAGCACAGTGGAGAGGTGTTTCACCCTCCTTGTTCTTGATTCCTACATCAGCTCCCTTCTCAACCAGTGCTTGTATTACTTCATGATAGTGGGAGATATACGACAACAAAATACAGTGTAAAGCTGTATTACCATCACTATCCTGGGCATTTACATCTGACACTGGAAGCAACAGCTTAACACACTCTATACACTGTCGCATTGCTGCACAGTGGAGAGGTGTTTTATCCTTCTTGTTCTTGATTCCTACATCAGCTCCCTTCTCAACCAGTGCTTGTATTACTTCATGAGAGTGGGGTTTATCAGACAACAAACTACTGTGTAAAGCTGTATCACCATCACTATCCTGGGCATTTACATCTGACACTGGAAGAAACAGCTTAACACACTCCATGCACTGTCGCCTTGCTGCACAGTGGAGAGGTGTTTGATCTTTCTTGTTCTTGATTCCTACATCAGCTCCCTTCTCAACCAGTGTTTGTATTACTTCATGAGAGTGGGGTTTATCAGACAACAAACTACAGTGTAAAGCTGTATCACCATCACTATCCTGGGCATTTACATCTGACACTGGAAGCAACAGCTTAACACACTCTAGACACTGTTGCCTTGCTGCACAGTGGAGAGGTGTTTTACCCTCCTTGTTCTTGATTCCTACATCAGCTCCCTTCTCAACCAGTGCTTGTATTACTTCATGAGAGTGGGAGATATACGACAACAAAATACAGTGTAAAGCTGTATTACCATCACTATCCTGGGCATTTACATCTGACACTGGAAGCAACAGCTTAACACACTCTACACACTGTTCACTTGCAGCACAGTGGAGAGGTGTTTCACCCTCCTTGTTTTTGATTCCTACATCAGCTCCCTTCTCAACCAGTGCTTGTATTACTTCATGAGAGTGGCCTTCATCAGACAACAAACTACAGTGTAAAGCTGTATTACCATCACTATCCTGGGCATTTACATCTGACACTGGAAGAAACAGCTTAACACACTCCATGCACTGTCGCCTTGCTGCACAGTGGAGAGGTGTTTGATCTTTCTTGTTCTTGATTCCTACATCAGCTCCCTTCTCAACCAGTGTTTGTATTACTTCATGAGAGTGGGGTTTATCAGACAACACACTACAGTGTAAAGCTGTATCACCATCACTATCCTGGGCATTTACATCTGACACTGGAAGCAACAGCTTAACACACTCTAGACACTGTTGCCTTGCTGCACAGTGGAGAGGTGTTTTACCCTCCTTGTTCTTGATTCTTACATCAGCTCCCTTCTCAACCAGTGCTTGTATTACTTCATGAGAGTGGGAGATATACGACAACAAAATACAGTGTAAAGCTGTATTACCATCACTATCCTGGGCATTTACATCTGACACTGGAAGCAACAGCTTAACACACTCTATACACTGTCGCCTTGCTGCACAGTGGAGAGGTGTTTTATCCTTCTTGTTCTTGATTCCTACATCAGCTCCCTTCTCAACCAGTGCTTGTATTACTTCATGAGAGTGGGAGATATACGACAACAAAATACAGTGTAAAGCTGTATTACCATCACTATCCTGGGCATTTACATCTGACACTGGAAGAAACAGCTTAACACACTCCATGCACTGTCGCCTTGCTGCACAGTGGAGAGGTGTTTGATCTTTCTTGTTCTTGATTCCTACATCAGCTCCCTTCTCAACCAGTGCTTGTATTACTTCATGACAGTGGGGTTTATCAGACAACAAACTACAGTGTAAAGCTGTATCACCATCACTATCCTGGGCATTTACATCTGACACTGGAAGCAACAGCTTAACACACTCTATACACTGTCGCCTTGCTGCACAGTGGAGAGGTGTTTTATCCTTCTTGTTCTTGATTCCCACATCATCTCCCTTCTCAACCAGTGCTTGTATTACTTCATGAGAGTGGAGCTTATACAACAAACTACAGTGTAAAGCTGTATTACCATTACTATCCTGGGCTTTTACATCTGACACTGGAAGCAACAGCTTAACACACTCTATACACTGTCGCCTTGCTGCACAGTGGAGAGGTGTTTTATCCTTCTTGTTCTTGATTCCTACATCAGCTCCCTTCTCAACCAGTGCATGTATTACTTCATGAGAGTGGGGTTTATCAGACAACACACTACAGTGTAAAGCTGTATCACCATCACTATCCTGGGCATTTACATCTGACACTGGAAGCAACAGCTTAACACACTCTACACACTGTTCACTTGCAGCACAGTGGAGAGGTATTTCACCCTCCTTGTTCTTGATTCCTACATCAGCTCCCTTCTCAACCAGTGCTTGTATTACTTCATGAGAGTGGGGTTTATCAGACATCAAACTACAGTGTAAAGCTGTATTACCATCACTATTCTGGGCTTTTACATCTGACACTGGAAGCAACAGCTTAACACACTCTATACACTGTCGCAATGCTGCACAGTGGAGAGGTGTTTTATCTTTGTTGATTTTTATACATGCGTCTGCCCCCTTCTCAATCAATGCCTGTAATATTACATGACTGTGGTCTCCATGTTGTCCATAATTAGTACCTTCCACCAAAGTAGTATAGGAGGGTAATGTATCATGTTGGAGAGCAATATGTAGAGCTGTATCACCCACTCTGTCTTGATGGTTTATATGATTCATTAAACCATTTTCAAGAAGGAATGTCACACAATTAAAGCACTTCTGAGAGACTGCCAGGTGTAGGGATGTTTCATTCCTCTCAGTTTTATCTTGAATATCTGTTTGTGCACACATGATTTCAGCCACTTGGTGGTTATGCGCAACACCTGGATAGTTCAGTGAAATGTGTAAAGCTGAGTAGCCATCCTTATTTACAACTTTAGGATCCGCATTATTATCACACAGCATGCTGACACAAGTCTTACATCCATGCATCACTGCAAGCGACAATGCTGTGTTACCATTGTAATCTTGCATAATTACACTGACTCCAAGACGGATTAACCTTTGTGTAGTTGAACATCTGTGTGATGTTCCCTGAGAAAGATGAAGAGAGACTTGTTCAGAACCATGCTTCAAAGCAGCATTTGCATCTGGTCCTTTCATTCCAGATATACACTTACTACAGCTAAGTGCTATCGCTAAATGCAATAAACTCTGATTCTTATTATTTGATATTCTCACAATGCTTTTGTCAGAATTAATCATGTCTTCTACCAGCTGATCATCATGGAAATCATTCATTAAATACAAATGCAGTGGTGTGTCCCCATTGTCATCTTGGCTTATAACACTCGCTCCCCTTTTCATGAGTCGAGAAACCAAGTGCTGTAGTCCATGCCTTGCTGCATCATGTAGTAAAGTGGCCCCATCATGTCTTCTTTGATTAATAGTGATGCCATTGTCAACTAAAACTTCAAACGCTTCCTCATCTTCCTTCAAAACAGCACTGTATAGAGCATTCTGTTTCTCATCATCAATATTTCTAAAACAATTGCTACCCATGAGATACTGAATCTTTTCAGCACTGTCAAATTTTGACACAGCAGACTCTGTAATGATCGACCTGTCAGATTTGTCTTTCCAGTTGATATCTGCTCCATTTTCACATAACAATCTGACAACATCAAGTCCCTGCCATACTGTAGAATCGAGGACACAGGATCTACCATTTTTGTCAACAATGTTAACATTCAGACCAGTCGCAATAAGTTCGCGTATGCACTGAAACATGTTGTTGCTATTCACAGATCGCCTTTTCACCAATCTGCTCTCAATACCAGTTTGCCCTTGGATGAGATTTGTTACTGTATAGTGTAATAGTGTCCTCCCTTTGTGGTCCAAAACTGATGTGTTACAATCATTTTGAATGAATATTTTCAAAACATCAAGGTCACAGCCATAAGCAGCATAATGTACTGGTTCTAAACCATGTATGTCTTTGCTTATTATGGCATTGCTCTTACAAAGAATGTCTACTGATTCCGGAATACCTGCTTTTGAAGCATAAAACAGAGAAGACTGTTTGCTGACATCCAGAACATTGATGTCAGCATGGGCCTCTACCAACATTTTCACACAACCTGAATCTGAGAGTTGAGCAGCATAATGGAGAGCTGTGCACTTCATGTTATCAGTCAAGTTGATAAAATTGTCATCATTAGTTGAATTCTTATCTAGCAATAGCTTCAGCTTTTCCTTCTGGTCAATAGATGATTTCAATGCAGAATGAAATGGAGTTGCCCCTTCTTGGTCCACAGTCAACTCAGCCCCATGTTTCAACAGTAATTTAACACCATCAGCACTGCCATACATGCAAGCCAAATGTAACGGTGTCCGACCAAATTCATCAGTCACATGTATACCATCACTTGATCTGAGCAACAGTTTCCCTAACACAGTGGAGTCTTTGTGAGTAGATGCAAGGCTAATTTTTCTGGAATCCAGTTTTCCACCTCCTTCTTCAAGAAGCGTCATCACTTCAAGTATATCACTTCCAGTATTTGTCATCATTTCAGTAACATCCATGTGTCCATTACCATTGATTCTTAGCAACATCTCTATGCAATGGCTGTAAAACTGTTTGTGGTCTTCACTTTGAGCAGTGAGTCTTTGAACTAAAACCCGGATCACTGTTTTATTACAGCAACAAATCGCAAGAACTAACAGCAGTTTCAGATCAGTTGCATTGCATTCTATCTGACGAGTAATAGTGGTTGAGGTATTTGGATCTATTCTTGGTGAGTTACAAAGTGCTCGAAAACACAACTTGTTTGGTTTAGCTCCATTTGAAAGAAGGGCATTCACCAAGTCATTCTGACAAGTAAACACTGCACAAAGCAAGGCTTCATTGAAAATAGGCTGGATATCCTCGGATTCATATCCACAGAGTGACTGGATCAAACTTAAAGCAAACTCCTTCCTACAACTCATGATAACATGGGATAGAAACAAGCAATATTCAAGAATGTTCACAGTTTGGGGCATACCTAGTTTTTTACTCAGAGGTATAGCAATGTCCTTGACGACTTTCTCTCCCTTGTGCCTGGACAGTTGATATATGTCATCAGCTTCCCATTCCTGAAATACCACATGTAAGAACTCTGTGTCTTGTAAAGCTGGGTGAGACAATATAATGTATCGATTGTTCTCATTTGACAGATACTCCCTGACTTTAACAACCAAAATTGGATATTTCTTTTTAGCAAGAAAAACAACATTTCCTTGTTTCCATCCCTCTTCTTTCTGTGCACTAGTTCGAATAAATTCTAGCAGCATGAGTGGTGTGCTCATTCTGATACCTAAATCAGGACAAGCTTCACACAGGGCTACAAACATGACATCATATATTGACCTGTGTGAGAACTGGAAACAATCGTCTGAATGACAAAGATACACTCCACAGACAGACTCCGCCGTACATTTTATGTCAGCCGTGGAAGGACAAGCTTCCTTTAACCTACAAAATTTCTTTAGGGTCTTATATTGCATTTCGAATTTCTCCTCATGCTCTAATGACATGAACTCTTCCATAGAAAGACGTCCTTCATTCATGAAAACCAACAGCAATACAAAATATACTTCAGGCTGATCATTCTTAACACAGTCAATCAGATATTTGATAAATTCAAAAGGTTTCTTGAAAAATTCCACTCCTTTAGACCTTGCCTCTTTATTTGTTGCGAAAAATGTACAGCATTGTGGAAATCCCAAAGCAGTGTCCATATTGGCTATTTCTTTCATGTCTTCCTTTCTTACATATTTTCCACACAACTTGTCAAGGAACTGTAGTTTTTCTTCCTCTCGGAGACGATACACTCCGTCATCAAGAATGATCTCTTTTGACTTATTTATTACTTCATATCCAAATATTTCTGGTTCACCTTGAGTAATGATTTCTGGCCGTGACGTAACCACTAACCATATCTGTCCAGACTCCACAAATGGCCACACTACATCAAACTTTTTCCTCCACTCTTCAAGACTTGATTGGATCAAATTAGTTCTCCCAAAAATGTCATCAACCAGAACAACAAACTTTTCATCGGAAGTACTTGATTTGTGTATGTAATTCCACTCATCTGGTGACGATACCTTCAGCGGTATCCTTGAAGATGATTTTGCAATCCTTTCTAACAAGGTATACCCCAGATGTGACTTCCCTGACCCTGACCTTCCCCTGATGATGACACTGCCACACGCCTTCAGATGTCTGTAGGCAGCCCTCTCCGTGTAGGTTGGAACATGTTTTGTGGAATCTCTTGATCTGATCTTCAGGCTGGTCCCTGCTGAAGGAACAAACTCAAGTCAGTACAGGTATCCATGAATTATAATTCAAAATGTATAATGTTTCCAGATTGCTAGATATCAAATTTGTATACTTAGCCTGCATTACTCCTTAATGCATTTACTACTTTCTGTTGACAGAAAAACGAAGCTGTCTGAGGTCCAGCTGAAGAAGAAGTTGTTCCAACCAAAGCAGCAAATATAATGCTCAATGCAATTCTCTTTACCCAATCCATGACCCTATGGTGCATATTCTCTAAGCCATATCATTGCCATATATGGACATGATGAAATAATGTTCCTGATAACCATGACAACAGGGTATGAAATTAACATCTACTAGTAAGATTCAGGAAGATCCAGTGGCATTTCCTGGTGGACTAACACTTTCAGCATTACCTAGAGTGCAACTCTGTAGCAGATCATTGTTGCATGCGCGTGAAAATATTAATAAATTAATTTGTAACCCTGTAATATGGTTTCCATACATTCAAAAGTATATATACAGAATCTCACTACATTCAAATTTCCTACTCCACCACACCTCTTCACCACCTCCATAGGAGATCACTTCAGGTAAGCCCTAGCGAATTTCGACCACCCAATCTAAATGACCAATGTCAGCTTTCTATATTAATTTGCCTTTTACTAGTTTTAGGGCTGGGACGAGTCAAAATTTACACCTGGGTACCCAGCCCGCTATTACCCGACCCTACCCATTACAGGTCTCAAGAGTTTGGTAACAAATGTCTGATTGGAAATAGTTCAAGCATAGCCCTTGTAAAATGTATTCAAATATATGTATAATACGATCTGGTCATGCATACACTGAAGTTGCTGAAGTGTTATTTTTATTCAAACCTATAATGGTCAGAAGCAATGGTGCTTAGTCAGAAAGAAATGCGAACATTAGTGACTTGTACTGTAACCATAGAGTTTTTGATATTTTTAATCATTAAACAATATATCACATGACTAACCCGGGTCCTACTCAGTACCCACCCGACCCGAGTGCCCAAGTTACCTGTCCAACCCTATTGCCGTTATTTCTTCACCACCTCAATTTTATAATTTCGATTTGTACAAACGAGATGGCACACACACACAAAAACATTCCTTCCATGGCACTCTCTTTTTGGTTAAGATGCTGTAGCACACGGAAACAAAAATATAATGGTGCAGCTTTAATTATCTTCATTAGGAACTGGCTATTTCAGTTCGTTTTCAGGATACAGAAATCCGATATGAATAGGAGCAAACGATTTTATTATTTTGAGATTGGTAGATACATTAATAGCACTTACCAATAAGATGTTGAAGAAGTGAACATTCAGCTGCTGAAAAACAAATATTTATTCACTAATCATTATTCGTATTGCAAAATGAATGAGAGTGTGTTCTGCAATCTTATTCATCTAAATAGGGTTAAAAGGTAGGGCTGCACGATACGATACGCATCTCGAAATTCTGGTCACGATACGATACGTATCCCGATACGCAATGATAAAAAAACAAGACTTAAAGCATGTCAAGATTGAACCTTTCATGATTTTGGAACAGTCAAAATTATTTTATAATAATAAGACTACTGAAGTTGTTCAGCTTCAAAGTGGAACTTTCTCTAACTTTCCTTCAACACAATTCAAAGTTCAAACACCAGAAAACAATTAATGTACAACTTCAAAGAATATTGATGCAATGGTCGAAGAAATTGTATCTGAAATTATTGTTTTATCAGGAATAATTTATTCCAATATCGTGTTACCTTAGTTGCAGCTTTTACTATATATATATTTAAAATTATAAGAACCACAAGTGTAGCATTTTGGTTCTGGTGATTGCTGTTGCAGGATATTTTTAAGCATGGAACAATTTGACCAGTCACCCTAGGGACTTCCCGTGCTACGTTGCGAAAACGTTATGTTGACATATATTAGCCAAATTGCCACAAATATGACTTTTAACAAGTCAAAGTATGGCATTTTTAATATATGTATCCGGTAAGTTCGTTTCAATGAGTCAAAAGCGGTAATCTGACCGTGGTTGCTGTATCTCTTCACACACGATTTCACATAACTTAATGAAAACAATATTAAAGGAAATTTTAAATAAGATTAATAAAATATATTGCAAACACAAGTCCAGATATACAATGAACACGTTTTAATAACAAGATAGTATAATAATGGTATTGAATTGCGTACTTCAGTTCGGATTTGCTTACTGGTATTTTCGGTGTTATGTGCTTGCGGTGATCAGCTGATAATGTTTTATGAGATTGGGAAAAACATCTGTCGGTGTAAAACCTGAGCTTATTAAAAATGTAAGTACGTTTTGGTGAGCCATGCGTTAGAGCGCGCTATTACCAAGTTAGCGGTTTATTGAAAGGCACAATAGCGAGGAAATGCTGTACTTGGGATTTGCGTTTCGTATTGTGGCATATCGATAAATGGGCCCACGTTTATCGTATATCGTATCGTGGGTCAAGCATCGCGATGCATCTGAATATCGGTGTATCGTTTCACCCATATTAAAAGAGATTGGATAACAGATACTTTGAGGTCTTTTCATTGTCTATGAAGTTTCTTTGATGAATATCTTTTCTATATCAACCCAAATTTGAAAAAATAGAGTCAGGGCTTGATTTCAGGAACTTGTTTTAACTTGGAACAGGTGCATGTTGACATGAAACGCAAGTTGCATTAGACGAAACTATGTATTACTCGTATATACTATACCACATACATGTACCACACACTTGCTGCATATAAAATGTCTTAATGACACCTGCAGAAATGTCCGAGCATGATGAATAATGCCCAGAAATGGTATTTTCAATATGATTGACATGTTTAAAGACAATCTCATTAAAATCCGATCTTGGTGCTCATTACCCCGAAACAAAGATCTGAGGGCATACCAGTATGGTTCATTTCAGCACAACCCTTATGACAGATACGGGCTGTACGCCTGATTTCGTCAGAATAATAATATATTTCTTGCTTCAATGGGATAAACATTTGAAACAAACTTTCCATAGCCCATGGGAAGTACTGCAATACTATCTACCGGGGTAATAGACATCAAGAATTTTCTTTCGTTCAGTTTTTAAATTTTGAATCAAGAACTTTGTCAAAATATTTTTCAAAGTGTAGTCTGGAATGGAAATTGCCAGTTTGAAATTCGTGTTGTGAAGCTCAAGAAAGTGCTTTCTGATTGGCTAATGTCAACTCCTTGTTAGTTATTTCAGTGGTCGGTAAAAGTTTGCGAAAAGTCACTTTGACATGACCTGTTATGGGACATCCTCAGATCTCTGTTGGGGGCACGGGTGACCCAGTCGTCTAAAGCGCCGCCAATCGCTGTGCTGAGTTGCGTCCCTTGGGCACGCCAGAAACCTGTGATTGTGAGTTTGAATCCCAGTTCGCCCTAATTATGTTTCTAGGTTTGTCAGCACCATACCCGTGCATGTGGGTTTCACTGAAGTGGTAAACGTCTAATACCTGCATCACTTCGGGCTTTCCTCCCACATTAAGCTGACATGCCGTGATATAACTGGAATACTGTTAAAAGCGGCGTTAAACCCAGCTCACTCACTCACTCACTCAGATCTATGTTTAGCGAGCACTGAGATGATATAAATAGTTTCAAGTCAGCTTGGAATTCTGTGACCCGTGTATAGCTTGGATCATTCATAAAGAGATTCATCTTCACATGACCTGTTTTTGGACATCCTCAGATCTATGTGTAGCGAGCACTAAGATGATATAAATAGTTTAAAGTCAGCTTGGAATTCTGTGACCAGTGTATAGCTTGGATCATTCATGGAGAGATTCATCTTCACATGCCTCGTAGTTTCAGAAGAGATGTTCTAAGGTATCATTGGGGAAATAATAAAGAGATCATTGTAGTTTACATCTTTTCTAAAACATAATTTCAAAAACAGTGACCTTGACCTACAAAAGAAGATCAATTTACCTTCATAAATCACACCTGCCACTTTACTATTGATGGCTGTTCCACCAGTCATACCAGTCACAGAGCCTGAAATGCATCAACTTCATTCATAATCGCCATAACTCATCAAATTCAGCAAAATTGTGTGCACTGTCAAACACATGGACAAAAACCTTATTTCCAAGGATTAACGTGGGATTTCTAACAAACTGCCTGTGACATGCAAATTTTGGAGAAAAAAATGTTAAAGGTCATTTAGTCATTGCATTCAGAGCAAAAGTGAAGAACTCAGAAATTAAGTCTTTATTGATTCGAGGACATGCGTGGCCTTGTAGTCTAAGGCGCTGCAATTTGATGTGCAGAGTTGCATCCTTTGGACAGACCAGAAAGCTATGATTGTGGGTTCGAATCCAGGTTCGCCACGATAATGTTTCTTGGCTCAGCACTATACTCGTGCGCAAGGGTTTTCACCCTTTGTTTCAAGTTTGGTAATTTGTACCATATATAGTATCAGACCTTGTGTCAAATATGCCCAGATATATCCCTACTGACGGTAATAACACCCTTGTAGAAGTCACAGTAGTATAAGACATAAATACCTAATTATTATATTAATTTTTTCTTTTACTTTTGTCAAGATAAAAAATATAGATAATTACTAAGATGCCTTTTTTCTTATAATTATCACTGTAAGTTTCACAAAGTTGCCCATAATTCAAATAAATATTGTTTTCATAATACACTGGTTTGTTGCAGTGTTAGTTGCTGGAACATCATGTTTTGATACAATCTATAACAGAAAACAAGTTATTCACTATAAAATTGGAATTGGATACATTATAATTTTTTCCCCTGCCAAGTTGACTTGTATTTCACCAGTAAGAGAAATAATACTGAGAAAAATGGCTTTATACAAAATATTACATCATTGCATTGGAATAAGGCTAAATTTAGAAAAAGAAGACTTTTAAAAGCTCAGAAAATTGGGTAAAATACAGACATTTTACAAATTCTCCTGCAACAAGTACCTAGTTTATCAGTAATCCATGCATCAAACAATACAAACAGGTAAGGAAACTTACAGTTCATAGCATCGTGTGAGGTGGATTGGCTGGATCCCTGTGGTGTTGGTAACTCATCATCAACTGATGACAAACATTCTTCAGTGACATCGCCTGAGTTTGCCTTTTTCCGCACTGTGTCATCACCGGAATCATCGGCCTTCCGTTTCCGATCCATCTTGTCTGTGACATCACGTAAGTTTGACTTTTTCGGCACTGTGACATCACACGGATCATCGGCCTTCCGTTTCCGATCCATTTTGTCTCTGTTTCCGTTTCCAAACCAATGGATGGTTAAACCTAAAACAAAACACCACAGTTGTAGCTGTCTGTTAGGATGCATGCAGGATTATGTTATGTATAAACTATGCCTGTTCATGCAGATATTTTATTCACAATTGATCAAATTCTTGATGTGCAACCAAGTTATTTGGTTCATATATTCTCTGACTGAAAAGTAATTTCAGTACTGAAGGAACTTCAAAGTTGGTCAGCAGAAGGGATGTAATCCCGTAAAACATTATCTGTACTTTCAGGTTTTTTTTACTTCACCCAACTGGCAACACTTATAACCAACAACACAAAAATGAAATCATTAAAAAAAAATACAAAACACATTCTTATTGCAACCATTGTCAGCGCCTGTGGTTTCAACAAAATATAATATAATCCTAGTTTATGATAAATGAAGACCTTATTTAGACCAGATCAAAATATGCCCCTGTATTAGATCTAGATTATTAACATTTTATTAATTAATTTGGCACTTGGATAGGATATCTCATATCTAATCATGTAATCAGTAATGGCTACCAATAATGCATTCACACATCTTCCCGAGGCAAGTGAGTTAACTGACTATAAAAGTCCAGTTTCCACCCTTGCCAAACTAGGCTGGTATTATGGAGTTACATTTGGCTGGACTAACGGTGCATGACACCATGAGCTTCAATCCATGCAATTGGGATCGATGACATGCACCCCAGATATTCACGGGTGTGGCTGTAATAGAAGCTCCACTACACAAGGAAGTTTAAAGACTGTGTGTTGAGATATAGGCCTAGTAGCCATTTTGGTGTAATATATACTCATCTATATGCTGTTATATTTATTGGTCTTTCTCTACTTACATATAAGGGGTATATATTTTTATTTACTGACCAATAACGAGTTCCTGTGATGGAACCAGGTTATTTTCCTCATAGTGATACAAACCGTCAGATAGTTGCGTGGACAGTGAATGTAAAACTGAAAGCGGAAATAGGCGTGGAACACAAATGATCAACTTTTCATTTTAAACAAACATGTTTCTAATTATAATGTACCTGTGAACCGAATCTGTCACCAACAATGAGAGGTCATGGCATTTGACTACTATATGACTAGGGAGTCTATTTAAGACAAATAGACTCCCTGATTTGGCTCATCTACCGTTGGCTTCCTTGCATCTCACTGTGGTTGACAAACAGGGAAATCCCCTTTTCTCCGTTAATACTCGCACAGTTCCGTCCAAAACTACGATTCACATTCGTGACCATTCGTGGCCATTCGTGACCAACTCGTATTATTGCGGGGCAAGCCGAATAGCAGGTTACGGAAAGGGGCGAGTGGTGATGAATGGGGGACGAGTCTTCTTGCTGGTTAAGGAAAGGAGCAAGTGGTGATGATTGCCTTCGTTAGTGTCCGTCACCTATTCGACCATTTTCGTCCACGGTGTGGACGTTGCTCAGCCGGTTCAGTGGTGACGAATGCAACCGGTTACATCATTCGCCACCACTCGCCCCTTTCCGTAACCGGCTAGTCCCGGATTAACACGAGTTTGTCACGAATGCCGGTTACAAGTCGGGCTAACGAAGGGTCGCAAGATCTCATCCGGTTGCTTGTCTTTGAGACATGTGACCTACGGCAGAGATCGTCCTCACGAGAAGTTGTAGTACTGCATTCTAAAGATATTCAGTTCTGCTGAAAATAGATCTATGATTAATATTATAACTTTTCTATATTTTTATTGTCTGTATGTCACTAAACTTGCAAGAAAGGAGAAATGTTCTTTTCCTTTTTCAAATATATCTTTATTGATGAATATTTGAGCAAAATAATCTCAATAAATAATCCGGGTCTTCGGCGTGACGAGCGAACGCTTTAATCACTAGGCTTTCCGACCGACCCAGCTGGTAGTCATGGTTAGGTATATCTTAATACAGAATACCGAAGAAGCAAAGAAATTTATAAGAAATGTGTTAAATATTCACTTGATACTGAATCTGACAAGTCAAAGAATGAAAGGGATGGATAAGCTACCCCGGGAAAGATAACGTTTAAGAGCAAGATAAAAAAAACAACATACCGAACGCTTCAAGGCAACAGCAATCATTTGTGAATTCAATAATGGTTTTGATAGATCTGGAGAAATACTGGCGTAAGTCACATATAAAATGTAGAAGTTTCAAACAAAACTTTAGAAATAGCAGAATATACTTTCCGGATTGGACTAATTTACAATTGTACATTTTCAGTGATAGTAAATGAAGCATAAGTTCGTTAGTAACTTGCAAAATATATTCACATTTTGCATCACTTATCATCCATCTGTTCAATTTTACAAAATGTATCTTCTGATCACGTGTTAAATAGAATTCATTTCATTGGATACGCACTTGGAACAACCTGAAACTCAGATTTAGTTTTAGATTTAGAGATAACACAATGCTTTTAAATGATACATCTCACTTCTCCTCATAATAATTACTTGAAACTTCTTCAGGACATAGAACAAAGTCGCCCGAGTGATTCTAGAACCTTAACTCAATTTTGACCAAAAGTGGAGATAGAACAAGCTGGTTCTCAGGGCACGAAATGTATTTTCAGATGTACAGTTACTCTTTTATAAATATGATTTTAAAGTAACATAATAAATATAAACTGGCAATACTAAGGTGATTCTATCAAATAATTAATTCCTCCAGGAATTTCCAAGACAAATCCAATCTAATTAAAATCAGATCTAGTTTTTACTCCACAACGATACCCCTCGATCTCTGATTCACGTAGAGCGGAATCGTATGGGAGTAAAAGCTACGTCTGTTTGTTATGAGGCTGTCTTTGTTCTTGAAAATGTTCAGATATATACAGGTTGTAGGCATTGATACATATGTATATATGCGGTGATGTCAAATCATTCCGAGTTCAGGCTACGGCTATGAGGTTGATATCTGTTTATTCTGTTTATCTGTTTATAGTAGTTGAAGGGACTCCATGCAGCTGGCGACACAGGAGTGTATCTACGCACCCAGCAGCTGGACAGCCAACGCGTGCCAAATCCTTTGAGTTTGACATTTCTAAATCTTGAGTGCAGCCCTAATGCAGTGACAGGGTAGTGCAACACATTAGTTTTTGTTTTATTTGTTGTTTAACGCCGCACTCGGCAATATTCCAGCAATATGACGGCGGTCTGTCAATAATCGAGTCTGGACCAGACAATCCAGCGATTGACATCATGAGCATCGATACACGCAATTGGGATACGATGACATGCATCAACCAAGTCAGCGAGTCTAACACCCGATCCCGTTGGTCGATTCTTGCGACAAGCATAGTCGCCTTTTACGGCAGGCATGGCTTGCTGAAGACGTATTCTACTCATGATGTACGGACAGAGGCATGCAGTCACGGGCACGATGTGCACGAGGTGCCTAAAAACCTGTGTCTGAATGTATCAGGACAGATCGTTGCACATCATTATCAGAGAGCACAACAACATTGGCTACAAAGGATTGCAACAGCTGAATGCGGTTATGGCCCCTTAGGCAGATGCATATGCTGGTTGAATTTGGGTCACCACATCACGTTGCAAACGTCTTTGGTGTCAGGCACAATGAGATCAGCAGGGCATGGAATCGATACCAGACGTTTGGATCAGCTTCCCAGCGACATGCAGGATGTCGACAGCGTTCTACTACACAGCGGGAAGACAGATGGCTTCTGATTACAGCAAGACGTCCTCGCCATCACTGTGTGACTGCTACCACACTCAGCAATGAACTGCGGACGCCAGTGGCGTTTAAGGTTCTACTCAGACAGTGCATAATCGTCTCCGTGAGGCTGGTCTCCGGTCACGGAGGCCATGCATTCGCACACCACTGACCCGATATGACAGGCAGGCATATACTTTACGCTGGTGCAATCGGACCGGACTTCATCCTCATGGACGCTCATGCTTACTTACAGTAGGAGACCATTGTCCGAATGGAGTGGCCTGCTCGGTCACAAGACCTCAGCCCTATCAAACACGGGTGGAAGGAACTGCAGATTGCCTTTTCACGACGACCTGTCGTTCAGGCAATTCTAGAGGAACTCGGCAATGCTCTTACTCAAGAGTGGACTAATCTTCCTTTGCAACCATCCAGACACTTATTTCGAGCATAAGACGACGGTGCCAGGCTGTGATCGCATCACGAAGAACACATATGCTACTGAGCGTTATGTGTTTGAACAATGAATTTGTTTTCGTTATTATGTGCACCTTTCAGTTTTGGTCAGATACCTACATTTTGAAGGGTGATCTGACTGATTATAGGGTCACATATTGATTGTTGGCATTGTGTGGCACATGACAACCGACTTTTGTTCATTAAACATGTTTTAACGCAATATTGTCTTTGGCTATTTAAACAGATGCATAAAATTTGACGTATTACCTTTTATAGTTGTGATTCTCTTCAGTAGTATAGATCAACTCAAAAGTAGTATAGCTCAACCCAAATAGACTGAATACCCTTAAACCTTAAACGGACCAGCCCTGTGACACGTAACTGTACAGTACACACAATGGCAAGAGGCACTCCGACTGACTAATAATCACTAAAACCTGAAATAAGATGAAGTGAATGAATGAGTGAGTGAGCTGGGTTTAACGCCGCTTTGAACAGTATTCCAGTCATATCACAGTCAGCTCTTCGTTGGAGGAAAGCTCGAAGTGATGCAGGTCTCGGACATTTACCACTTTGGTAAAACACATGAGAACGGGTATGGTGATGACAAACCTAGAAATATAACCAGGGCGTATAAAAATAATAATATCTATGCAAATAATAGAAGTTACTGAATTCACCCATGATACACATATACAATGGCCACGGACACTTAATACGTTACGTGAAGACCCCGGTTAATGCAACCGGAGGTATCGGGATGTTTTTCCCTTTTTTACTTTAGAACGCAGGCTGGTAAATAAGTTCTAAGCCAAACCACGGACCTACATGATCGCTTTCGTCATAGCGCTTTCCACTAAGGTGTTCTTTCAGTTCAGGAAACAGAAGGAAATCACTTGGTACCAGGTCTGTACCAGTATAGAAACTGAGGTGCTCATGATGTCAATCACAGGATTGTCTGGTCCAGGCTGGATTATTTACAGACCGCTGCCATATAGCTGGAATATTGCATAGTGCGACGTTAAACAACAAACAAACACAAGTAATAGATGTATATTTAGCATCCTTGTAATAACAAAGATTCATACAAAAAGTACAGTCGAACAGTTACCTCGAAATCCAGGTTTAAAAGTTCGACTTATCTGGGATCACACCTGTTAATTATGCTTCAGTATGCATATCCATGCCACGCACCCATTTTATGTTTACACCACACCTGTCCGTAGTTGTTTCTACAGGCAATCCAAGTTGTTGCAAGCAAAAATGGAATTCCAGGGGTTCACAATATAATGTGACGTGACCCGTGAAGATTCCGGGGTAGAATAGGTCTTCAGCGACCCATACTTGCCGTAAAAGGCGACTATGCTTGTTGTAAAAGGCGACTAACGGGATCGGGTGGTCAGGCTTGCGGACTTGGTTGATACATGTCATCGATCCCAATTGTGTGGATCAATGCTCATGATGTCAATCACTGGATTGTCTGGTCCAGACTCGATTATTTACAGACCGCCGTCATATAGCTGGAATATTGCTGAGTGCGGCGTTAAACAACAAACCAACCAACCAACCAACACCACAGAGACCACTCTATCTACTGGTCCATCCATATCAGCATAATCGGTCTGGGATCGAAATGATGAGGGACACGTATAAAAAATGAACAGACACTCATACGGACAGGTGTAGATGCCCCAGTGTATATTCTACAAAAGCATTTCTTAAAAAAATACGGACAGGTGTAAATGGGTCATTATCCCACTCAAAGTGCTTTCCAACTATGGAAACTTACGTGTGATAACTTACGTAACATATTTTGTAAGTTTTCCATCAACTTCTATTGTCTAGTGTGGATTAGCCAAAGTAGATGGAACCAGTTGTACAGCAACAATACCTCATGATGAGGACATCATACCATACATAGCTTCTCTCTTGTACCAGGGAGGGATGAGAAATGAGAATGAACTTTGAACATAAAGTTTGACGTTTAAAGCCCCAGGTGCCTTTTTTGCAGAAATATGTCACGAAATAATGTGTCAACGATTGAATTCTTTTAGTACTGTTCTCCTTTAACTGGCATCCATCTTGCCAATGTGTTAGCATCTGACTGACAGTCAGGTCAGAGGAGTGTAGATCTTCTATATTCCCTTAGTTCAGGATCCAGGGCCCACTTCCTTTCCACTGAAAATCTCACATGGACCAATGACCGAAACCAAATATAATAGTAATATTATTATTGTACAGATGTATGTTAAAACTTTACACCCCTTCCCTCCACAATGACCAATTTTGATTTAAATTGTACCCTACTCTTTTAAGAAAACACGAATCTACAAGTGACAGTTATCAGAAGATGGAACATTTTGTGGGGAATGTGAATATTTAACCTGCAATGAGGTGAAGCTATATTATTAAAGCTTTGATATAAGAACTGTTCTTCTGTAAATAAAACACAAATGAAGGCAAATGATATTCTTTCTTAAGCCATTGTGAGAGAGTATTTTTTACGCAACTGTTAGCAATATTCAAGCAATATCACAGCAGAAAAATGGGCTTCTAATATTGTACCCATGAGCCTTAGCACGACATAAGCCACAAGTCAGAGATGAAGCGTATGATCCTGGGTCTGTAAGCACCATCAGTTTTGGGGTTTACCATTTGGTAATCGCTGATGTCAAGATAGTATGGACAGGCTGTAACGGGTGAGACTTGGCTGATTGTGTGTCTTCCTACCCGGACGCATAGGGACGTTGATCAAGCTGTCAACCACTGGTTTGCTTGGGTCAGGTTTGATTATTACAGGTTGGAGTGATATACCTGGGATTGCTGAACCGTGATACGAAATAAACAAAAAAACAATCAGGCTTCTTCTGTCTGACAAAATCAGTGAAGACAGACAGAAAACAACGATGCCTTCATTTAGCAAAACATTCAGGTATTTCATAAATTTTATTCTTTTGACAATAAGTTACAGTTAACTATCACATGGTCACACTTTGTCCTTAATCTGTTTCAAGAAGGCTGCGACTACATCTTCAGTCGACTGTTCACATGACACAGACTCTGATTCTACCACAGCCTTCTCAGTGACCGTCACAACTGGTTCATGTTTATATATGACAGGTCCACCTCGGAAGTGTGCCTTCTCGCGTGATGCTGTAGCTAGGTCCTCCGTGGCCTGATGCTGGGCTTGTAGGGCGGCCATGAAGCTGCCGGGCTGGTAGGGCTGGGCCAGGACATCAGGAACACCACCGCACACGGTTGGGGCCTCACTGTCCTCATTCTGGACTAGACGGGTATCCAGAACCGCTGTCCGGGGTACGAAAATAGGTTTTTCCATCACATCTGCTCCAGAAGTTCCTGAACTGTGGGTGTGAGGTATAGGGTATGAAGACGGAGTTGAAGCGTCTGCTTGCTCCTCTGTCGCATCTGCTGGTGTCGACTCTGGAGGTCCTAATGAGACACCAGGTGGCGAGACCCAGGTATTCGGAGGAGGGACCGAGGTGTTCAGTGGTTGGACTGAGCTGTTTAGGGGTGGGACGTAGGAGTTAGGTGGTTGGATAAAGGTGTTCGGGGGTGGAACTGAGGTGTCTGGTAACTGATGACCTACCCCTGCCATGACTGACCCGGACAGGAAACCATCATGACCAGGATACATTGACGAGCTTGGGGGAACTGAAGGATAGGGGCCCCACTGGGGAGGTGGCTGGAACCCCGGGGGAGGTACAGAGAAGTCTACGTGTGGGGCAAGGCCAGGAGGTGCACCTGGGGCCTTAGAAATCATGCTGGTCTTCATAGCATCTTGTTTGTTATCCTCCGATGTACAATCACTTTTTCTGATGTTAGTTGGTAGAGGTATTGCACTTACATCAACAATCTCTGGTTGAGGTTGATGTTTAGCTTGAATACTTTCTCTGGTTAACACAACAGTTTTGGGTTTTAAGTCTGTGTTGGATATATTGTAGGGTTTCCCGAAGGCAGATTTAGTCTTTGGTGGTTGTCTGACTGGAGGAGAGTCAAAGTACGCAGAAGGTGGCGCGAACTCGTTCAGCCGTTCATCCCGACGCTGTGAGAAGTATCTCTCTTCCTTGAATGCCAGGGTTTCTGACAAAAGAAAATATACGTCAATCATTCAATTTCAGCACTCGTACAAAGACTACGATCAGAAAAGAATTTGTATGTCTAGAATCAATGTGCAGCCTTCACACAAACACTACGATCAGTATAGAACTGGTATGTCTAAAACTAATGTGCAACACTCACACAAACACTATGATAAGTATAGAACTGGTATATGTCTAAAACCAATGTGCAACACTCACACAAACACTACGATCAGTACAGAACTGGTATGTCTAAAACTAATGTGCAACACTCACACAAACACTATGATAAGTATAGAACTGGTATATGTCTAAAACTAATGTGCAACACTCACACAAACACAACGATCAGTATAGAACTGGTATGTCTAAAACTAATGTGCAACACTCACACAAACACTATGATAAGTATAGAACTGGTATATGTCTAAAACTAATGTGCAACACTCACACAAACACTACGATCAGTATAGAACTGGTATGTCTAAAACTAATGTGCAACACTCACACAAACACTACGATCAGTATAGAACTGGTATATGTCTAAAACTAATGTGCAACACTCACACAAACACTACGATCAGTATAGAACTGGTATATGTCTAAAACCAATGTGCAACACTCACACAAACACTATGATAAGTATAGAACTGGTATATGTCTAAAACTAATGTGCAACACTCACACAAACACTACGATCAGTATAGAACTGGTATGTCTAAAACTAATGTGCAACACTCACACAAACACTACGATCAGTATAGAACTGGTATGTCTAAAACTAATGTGCAACACTCACACAAACACTACGATCAGTATAGAACTGGTGTATGTCTAAAACCAATGTGTAACACTCACACAAACACTACAATCAGTATAGAACTGGTGAATGTCTAAAACCACTCACACAAACACTACGATCAGTACAGAACTTGTATATGTCTAAAACCAATATGTAACACTCACACAAACACTACGATCAGTACAGAACTGGTGTATGTCTAAAACCAATGTGTAACACTCACACAAACACTACGATCAATATAGAACTGGTGAATGTCTAAAACCAATGTGCAACACTCACACAAACACTACGATCAGTACAGAACTGGTGTATGTCTAAAACCAATATGCAACACTCACACAAACACTACGATCAGTATAGAACTGGTGTATGTAACACTCACTTTCCTTGCCCTTGTCCCACTCTCTCTCGGGTGCGTCCTTCTTCCAGCTGTCGTCTCGTTTGAGAGGCTCAACCTCAGGGTTCTCCTGTTTCACCTCCGTCCTCTCTGGTTTACATCTCTGTCCGGAGAGCATCTCCTCCAGCCTGGGACCAATCTCTTCCTCAGTGGCTTCAACAGATTGTTTCAAATATGGGTCATTATAGGAATATGTCTCACAGGAATCTGTGACATTAATTTCATAAAACTTTGTAAAATGGATGGGAGCGTGTGCTGCAATCTGATTGGTTGATAAATGTTGCTAAATAGGATTGTATCCCAGAAATCGTTTCAATGCATGTGAATATTTTTCTTCATCAATACCTTTTCTGTTAATTCCAAGTTGGAAAAAATGTGGAATTCAGATCGGTGAAATAGATGTGTTATGTTTCATCAATATTTATTAGAACAACTTCAGTTTTGTTGTGTTTTCTCCACATTGGTTGGTTTGTTGTTTAACGCCGCACTCAGCAATATTCCAGCTATATGATGGCGGTCTGTAAAAAATCCAGACAATCCAGTGATTGATATCATGAGCATTGATCCTCGCAATTGGGATACGATGACATGCATCAACCAAGTCAGCGAGCCTGACCACCCGATCCTGTTAGTTGACTCTTGCGACAAGCATAGTCGTCTTTTACGGCAAGCATGGGTTGCTGAAGACCTTTCCTACCCCGGATTTTCACAGGTCTTTCTCCACATTGAGTCAATAAGGCAGGTTCAGTGTCACAGAAGAAACTCACGTTATCCTCTGTATCATGTCACAGCATAGAGAGTAGAAAATGATTGATAATCATGATAATGTTCGTATTTTACAATGTCAATAACCATAATGGTTTTTCAGACTTGTGAGTGTTTTACTGAGTACTTGATGCACAGAATTTTGAACATCTGAGTCCTCCAGCTAATACAAAAGCCAAACTGAAAACAAATAATGTTGTGCTTATCATTGCCAATCATCTTACGAAGAAACATTTTGTGATGAGGCACTGCCCGCATTATCATAAAGTCTGCTGCACGTTTTGTTTCTATTTACATTTTCCAAAAAATAAAAAAATCCTAATACTTGAAACCAATGCAATCAAATATAGCACACAGTTACTTCCCTTTACATGCACACTGCGAGTCTTGTGTTTTGGTAATGGCGGCAATGGAAGTTTGTATGTTTGTTTATGTAGGGAGGCCCTTTCCAAAGTTGATGATACACAATTGTTAATTGGTTACATACAAGTTTGAACAAGCAAAAAAAAAAAGCATCTGCCCGCCTGCACTATATTTTCCAAAGTCATTGCCTGAGAACCAATTCTTTTATTTTTTTAAGCCTAAAGCAAATGAAGGAGTGGTGTTTAACACTTTTTTAAGCAATCCACATCACACTGGGGACACCTAGATCAAACCTAACAGGCAAACACTTTTACCATTAGGCGCCCTACCCCACCCCCTCACCCCCTCACCATCAGCACCACCCTATCACAAAATGCCTTGCTTCCAATGGGTAACAATACACTATTACCTTCTAGAAAACAACAGCTGCTAAACAAGGCTAATGCTCAATCAAACACCATAGTTATTCATGATTAATTTTGTAAAAATTAGATAGGGTCGGCTGTAATATAAGAAAACAAATTGGTCAGGCCTGTTAATTATAAAAGTCACCTGGCTCTTCCGCTAGTGGCGCCCCCTCCTTCAGCCTGCGTCTCTGTTTGACTTTGGCAAGTCGAGCATCCAACATGGCCTTCCGCTTCTCCTTGAGCCTCTCTCGACGACCTCGCTCATCTACCGTCTGCAATACACAGCTACCACGTCTATGACAGTATCAAACACAATGACATCAGTAGCTAACTACTCAAATTGTTACAACTTTCCAATATTTGCGCATTGTTAGGTCAGTTGAAGCAACATGAAGCCATGATGTAGCATCCTCATAATTATTGATTGTTTTATTTGTTTGTTTAACGTCACACTCAACAATATTCCAGCTATATGACGGCGGTCTGTAAGTAATCAAGTCTGGACAAGGCAATGCAGTGATTAATATCATGAGCATCGATCCACGCAATTGGGAGCGATGACATGCATCAGCCAAGTCAGCGAACCTGACCACCCGATCTTCATGAGTGTAAGATGTCTACAGTTAGTGACTTGGCTGATTATGTTCGTGATTGTTTCTCATGCTATCAACCACTGGTTTTGCTGGCCCCTGACTCGATTATTTCAAGACTGACAAGTTAGTTTTGATATTGTTGACTCTTGTTCATCAAGATTCACGCAACCACTCACAGCAGCTCGTACTGGTTGGACTAAAGACGGTTTAATAGTGTTAGCCCACTGAGATACCATGACACAGTTTTACATGGATAACTGACTCTGCCACAGTATACTGACTCCGAGCCGCCCAGTCCTTGTTTTAGCCCCTTAATGCCGAGCGCCAGGCAGGGTAACAACAAGTACCATCTTTTACGTCTCTTGGTAGGAGCAGACTGGGGATCAAACCTCAACCTTCTGCTCACCAGGCAGAGGCTCTATCCACCAGACCACGGAGGTAGTCTTGGGAACTGAAAACTGCCTCCAGTGCTTATTCCTCGAAAGAGGGTTCCTACGGGGACGGCTAATACAGTCATGCCCTCACTTAAGCTACTTTACCGACCTGATCCCTCAGCTTGTTCAGTGTGTCCATCTGTTCCTGACGTTTGTCAGTGTCCTTGTCAAACTGGTAGAATCCAACTCCATGAGTTCGGATCTCTACAACAAACAAAAAGCTGCAATTAGAAATTCCCTACCTGAAGCCTTCAAGACCTGATTGGAATACAATAAACTTAAGGCTGATCTGCAGGAACTGGTCTTCAAGCACCCTAAAAAACATTCTTGGATACTAAAGTTTCCTTCGAGCAGTATCTACTTCAGCATGTCAGCTTAATGAGGAAGGAAAATCCAAGCTTAATACCATGAAGGAAAAGCCTTAAGCAATGCAGGTCAATGACATTTAGCCCCCACAAGCAATGACATGGTGCTGTAAAACCAGAGATCATAATGTGGGCAAATCTGGGATTTGATGTTTGTTTGTTGTTTAACACCGCACTCTAGCTATATGATGGCGGTCTGTAAATAATCGCGTCTGGACCAAACAATCCAGTGATAGACATAATGAGCATCGATCCCGATAATTGGGATACGATGACATGCGTCAAGTCAGTGAGCCTGACCACCCGATCCTGTTTGTCGCCTCCTACGACAAGCATAGTCACCTTTTACGGCAAGCATGGGTTGCTGAAGACCTATTCTAACCCGGATCTTCACGGGTCCTGGGATTTGAAACTGATGCCATAGACTCATGGTAAAGGTATGGTCAAGGGGCATGGGCGGAGGCTGACAAATCAAGAATCTTAATCAGGATGAATCTGACATGCCAACCCAAGATCCAAGGATTCCACCATGTCTAAGGGACGCAACTCTGCACAGCCTTTGGGGTACGATTCAAACACCAAAACCTGAATCCAGCAGATCTCTCTTGCAGCCATGTAATGCATCAGACAAAAAATAGAATGTTTACTTTGCTGATAACTGACCATCAAACTGGACATTAGCGTAGTGTATGTTTGACTGCTGGAGGGCCTCCTGCTCTTCCTTCTCCCACTTCTGTCTCAGCAGCTCACGATGCATGTCGCTGGACATCAAGGACGGTGTGTCCTCATCCTCAGGGGGAGGAGGTCGACTTGAGTCCTCCCTACAAAGTATCAAGGTGCATAGTCAACCAGCACTGGTCAAGACAACAACACAGTTTTCTATGTCTATTTCAACAGCAGTTACTAGCCAATAATACATACAAAACCACATTCTGAGGTACAGGGTTTTGAGACATGCCACCTCATTGTTATAGCATGTTATGAGGACAAATGCACAAATAGCAGCAAAACTGCAGCAAAACTGCAGCACAAAGCAAGACACCCCACTTCAGATTTCATTCATGGTTTCAGCAACAGGGATTTTGTTTAACAGACATCTGCTTCCCACCCTTCTCAGAATAATTAATTGTGGGTCTCTTATCATGCTTATTTGCAGGATAAAGCACATCCGAGGGGTCTTAAGATATGCATCCTGCATCCACAGGATAAAGCCGAAGGTGTGTCAGCTCTGAGGTTTCATCCCAAGGATAAGGTTTTAAATATCTAAAAACCCTGGTATATTGTATAAAATTCCTGGTATATTATATAAAATCCCTGATATATTGCATAAAATCCCCGGGATATTAAACCACATTACAACCTGGAGTATCCTATAAAATCCCTGGTATATTATATAAAATCCCTGGTATATTATATAAAATCCCTGGTATATTATATAAAATCCCTGATATATTATATAAAATCCCTGGTATATTGCATAAAATCCTGGTATATTGCATAAAATACCCGGGAAATTATACCACATTACAACCTGGAGTATCCTATAAAATCCCTGATATATTGTAAAAAATCCCTGGTATATTATATAAAATCCCTGGTATATTGTATAAAATCCCTGGTATATTGTATAAAATCCTTGGGACATTACAACATCCCTGTTTATGAAATTTAACCTGACTGGAGAACAATAGGATGACGTCACTGGAGGTTGATGAAGCTAATGAATTAGTTTTGTGAATTTTTATGTTTGTAGCAGTTACTTTTGCCAGCTGTGATTGGTAACATGGCCAGGAAGTAGGTCTGGGACGAGTCCTAATTTACCCTGTTTACTAGATGGGTACGCGAACCCCAATTACCCGACCCTACCGGGGTACCCACTGAAGGTCTCAAGAGATAGGTACAAAATGTTCAATTGGAAATTGTTTTACCAGAGGCCTGGCAAAAATTGTTAAGATATTGTATAAAACGATCTGATCGTGCACACACTGAAGTTGACTAAAGCTTTGTCTTCACTCAAACATTTAAAAGTCGGAAGGAATGTGCACATAGTCAGAATGAAATGCGAACATTAGCCACTTGTACTAGTATAACCATGGAGTTTTATTGTTATTGTCATTTAACCATATATCATATCATATGACTAACCACGGGTCCGGGGAGTCCTGGGGGTACCCGGGACCTACTCAGGGCCCACCTGACCCGAGTATCCGCGCTACACATCCCAGCCCTACCAGGAAGGTACGACCATTGCTATGACACTTATTATGTCACTTACCCTCTGACTTTAGCCATGTCCTTGTCCTGTTGGATCAACTGTGGCAAGTCTTTCTTCATACAGCGCCGAGATCTGCCCAAAGAGTCTGTGTAATCCACCCTAGCGAAGGGAGGCAAGCTTTCGGTATATTTTCATGCACGTTACACAATTCATGAATATCCAGTGTATTATAACTACATTTCTGATTTGATAAAAAATATCATCAAAATATCAAAATCAGTCGCTCATGAGCTCAACAACCAATCAAAATGGCTGTCTGAATGTGAGATTGGCACAGATCTAATTTCAAAATTGAGCCCTCCATACATTTACTCGACTGGTAAAAATGATCTTTCTGCTTGAAAAAAATGTTTTCCTGAATATTAAGACAGGGCAGTCCCCAGGACTCAAAACTCAGGGTATTATCAAGATAGAAATGGAGATATATCCCACTGAAGAAAATGATCATGATGTTAGACATGTCTTCCCATAATTTAGCAATCTGGAGTTTTACAATCAGATCTTGTCTCCCTCCTGTCATTTGGCCTTATCATATTGTGGCACAACAAGTATTGAAGTTGGTCAACATGCATAGAGAAGAGACAATTCTGCCTTTGTAGCTCTGGTAACTGTATCAGTGTGCTGCTCCCTATGAATGATTTTAATATTGACTACACAGATGAAGAGACAAGTCAATATCAGTAACTTTTTCATGGAGCACCGCAGAGATACGTCAGCCATTATTTGGCAAATAACATAACATGATTAAAGCAGCCAAGAATAAATTACAAGAGAATCCCTGGCATTTGATTGGCTAACCAGGCATGTTTATTTGCGTTTATGTTTTCAGAGCCGACTACTGTTTGCTGATTGGCTGATAATACATGAAGTTAGGGTGGGGCTTGTGTTGCATTATTTGCTTAACAATGTCCCTGATTTCGTATCGTTGTCTACAGATCCTTGGGTTATGGTTAAATAAGCATTCTGTGAAGTTATCATGGCGGTTCCCTAAACTTCTTACCACTCCTCCTGAGGATCGGATGGTGGAGGAACAGTGTCGGAAAGCATCTCTTCCTCATCCTGGTTGTCTGCAGGGAGTTGTCTCCCCTTGCTATACTCTCTGTCTCTGGCCTCCACAATATTGTCAATAACTTTCTTCTGGAAATCAACAAGGAACACTCCACTGCCATCTTCCTCTGGAATACATCAAAGCAATGTTATTCTGTTTTGGTGCAGTGCTTGAAAATTTTTTAAAACCCAGCAAGACAGTCAGGCAGGTGACCAATAGATGTTGCCTGCCCATCTTCAAAGTTTCCTGCCCGCCTTCAGGCATTATAAGTACTGAAAAATCGCGAAATATAAAAGACAAATCTTGTCTTGGTTCAGTTGAGATTATGCAAACAATTACTTGAGAATGTATGAGGAGTTATGAAAAAAATGAATTTGTAAGTTAAAATCTTAAAATAATCTGCCAGACAGTTGGTCAGGTGGAGGAAAATTTCATGCAGCCCAACAGGAAAGTTACCAGCCACGGGCAGGTGGGCAGGCAGTTAATTCGTAAACTGTTTTGATGCAACAAATGTTATATTTGGGATAACACTTTCTGGCAGTGTGGCTTTGAATCCCAGACGGGAGTCAACCAAAAAAGTACGAGAATCTGTACTTTAATCAGAAAGTATTATCCCAAATATAACATTTGTTACATTTCAGCACTTTCTAAATGACATTGTGTGTTCACTGTTTTGGTGATTATAATACTATACCTATCTGAAACAATGAAGTCTTGGGTTATAAAATACTTACCAGGAATTTCAGAACTGGAAGAGATCTTGTCATACAACTTGGCCTTGGCTTCTAAAGCTCTTCTGTTAAATGACAGAACAAGACAGGTGAATGTAACATAATGTTTAACTCAGGTACACAAACAATTAACATGACTTGAACGTGTGACTGAGGACCAAGCTATGAATGGAAATGACCTACGACCACCTAACAACAAATCCAACACTGCAATGATCACCTGACATGTTACCAAAGCAAAGGAGTTATAAGACAATAAAAGTACAGTTTCCACCCTTGTGGAACTAGGCTGGAATTTCGTGGCTTGATCGTAGCGCTACCAGAGGCTATTACAAGTTATGTCCCTTATATGTCCCTCCTACTGATTCCATCTTACATATCACTTGCATTTCATTTGATTGATAATCAAGACCTTTATTGTAAAAAAAACCCAGGTCAACCGAAAACTGTACGACAGTCACCATGTTAATGAACCAGTTTTTGATATTGTTACCAGATTTTGATTGGTCTATGCAAAGAAATATAACTCCATAAATCCAGCCTAGTCTGGCAAGGCTGGAAACTGGACTTATTAGTCGGTTTTACTCCCTGGATCAGCTTGGAGGTATGTTGACTGCTAATTATGGTAGTATTCCAGACAGCGTGACTAGTACTGCATTACAATAATGAACGACAGTAGAAGAACCAGTAACTGGGTGATTGATTTTTTGTATTTTTGTTAACGCCACACTCTGCAATATTCCAGCTATATGATGGCGGTCTGTTAATAAACGAGTCTGGACCAGGCAATCCAATGACTGACATCATGAGCATCGATCCACACCACAGCTATGGTTTCATCCTAAGAAGCAACATGCATGCCAAAGTTCAGCTTCCTCGGTCCAACAATTTCTGAGAAAAAGAAGCTCACAGAGCCAAATATGCATTTTCAAAATTTATGAACATGTTCAAAACACAAAGGTGAATTCAAGTTCAAAATTTTATACACAGCAAAAAATGTATACATCATGTACATGTCTTCCACTACAAGACAAACATATAAGAAATTCCATTACATTTTGAACAAAAATTAATGAATAATGGCCATAAATTGTTTTTTTTAATGTGGCTGCTGTAAGGACTTTTCAATATTTTACCAATATTACAATAAACAGTAAAATTTAATTTTTGTTAATGAGTTTTCTATGAACATGTTTTTGTAATCATTTGCGATTAAAAATTGACTCATAGAAGTTTTTTCAGTTGTTTTATGTTAATAAAACAATGTACCTTATCACGAGGCCCCGTACATGTTTTCAGAAGAACTACACGTGTTCATGACCTCACCTTGACCTGACGAGCACATCCTCCTCCTCCACCTTCTCCTCCAGGTCCCGCTGTGCCCGCTCCAACACGCCCTTGTTCTTCCGACTGAACAGGTCAGGTGTTGTCTGGGGACAAGTGAACCACACCCTTAAGATGGCCATGTTGAACTGCACATGTTGGCCACACCCTTATGATGGCCATGTTGAACTGCACATGTTGGCCACACCCTTAAGATGGCCATGTTGAACTACACATGTTGGCCACACCCTAAAGATGGCCATGTTGAACTGCACATGTTGGCTACACCCTTAAGATGACCATGTAGAACTACACATGTTGGCCACACCCTTAAGATGGCCATGTTGAACTACATATGTTGGCCACACCTTTTTGCACACCTGTCAATCTTGTGTTTTGTGTTTTTTTCTGGATATCTGGATAACATTACATAAACATGTTACTCCTCATATATATACACTATAGAACATGGTGGCACAGTGTCATCTGTTCTGTGGAAATGTATATGAATCACGCAATTTCTATCTAAATATTTGCATGTTTGACCCAACATGCTCAATAAAGCAAAGCTTTCTGTGTTTATTGTAGACAAAATAGACAAAGTTATATCTGATGTTAGTGATATTTGTCATACATTAGTTGCATATGTATTTCAGCCAGTAAACACACAATGACATTCCTCAACAAATAAATATTGATAAATCAATATGAACAAGCATGAAATACTCATATCCCCCACCAATATGACATGTTGGGTTGTGTACGGTTTTCGAGATCTGCTCTGAAAATGAGCACTACCACCATTTTCAGTCTAAATCAAAGTCGTTGGCATGGAAACTCGAAAAATACAATTTAGAAAAATCCCAAACTATTAAAAGGCACCAGTTTACCATTAGACCTATCTATGTGCCAACTTTGGTTAAGATATTTCTCATGGATTGTTTGATAGGCATTACTTAGAAGTTGACGGATTACAAAGTAGACACAATCTATGGATAACAACTTCCTTAATTACTGAAAAGGAGACGTTTCGGTATGGATCATTATACCGTTGTCAAGCAAGGCTTATACCATGTATACCGTTATCAGCCTTGCTTGACAACAGTATGAGGGTCTATACTGAAATGTCGCCTTTACAGTAATTAAAGAAGATGTTATCAATAAATTGTGTCTACTTTGATATCTCTTATCATTTTTTAGTTCTGCCCTGGAAACGAAATGTGACGGACGGACCAGTTCCTATATCCCCTTCCACTTCGTGACAGGGGAATATAACCATCGATTTAGCCAGCCCCAGTTTATAAACATGATAAAATCAGTTCTTTTCACTCATCTTAGAATTCATCTTATGGAGTTTATCATGCCACAATTCCCAAACTTAAAGGTGTTAGATATAGAGTGAGTGATTGAGTGAGTTGGGTTTAACGCCGCTTTTAACAGTATTCCAGTTATATCACGGCGTGTCAGCTTAATGTGGGAGGAAAGCCCGAAGTGATGCAGGTCTAAGACGTTTACCTCTTCGATGAAACCCACGAGCACGGGTATGGTGCTGACAAACCTAGAAACATAATCGTGGCGAACCGCGATTCGAACCCACAATCATAGGTTTCTGGCGTGCCCAAGGGACGCAACTCTGCACAGCAAATCGCGGCGCCTTAGACGACTGGGCCACCCGTGCCCCCCTGTTAGATAATGAAGGCTAGTTATCAGTCACTTGAACATGATAACTTTCAGACCAATATGTCAAAGTTTTCGGTAACTATACCATGTATACAATCTGACATTTACTGTGGGCCAAAAAGGGATCTTATCCTAGCCGTCCTTGAAAGACTTCTTCTGATAAATATAGTATGTAATTAATAGGGATCTACTGTATTGACATCAATTTCAACTTACCTTTTCCTGTGTTCTTCCTTTGATTCGCGTTCCTGTTGTATTCTTCAACTGTTTGAACTCTTCCTGCTTCCGGTACAGCTCAGCTTTCAAATCTATCAGCTGTCAAACAAAATACTAGCAGTATTAATACTAGAATCAGTGACCAAGGCTCTCACAACCTACATCTTACATATTAGATCTGATATGATTTAAACATATTTTTATTTTGTTTGTTTGTTGTTTTTACGCCGCACTCAGCAGTATTCCAGCTATATGACGGCGGTTTGTAAACAATCGAGTCTGGACCAGGCAATCCAGTGATATATATCATGCGCATCGATCCACGCAATTGGGATCAATGACATGCATCAACCAAGTCAGCGATCCTGACCATCCGATCCCGTTAGTCGCCTCTTACAAGCACAGTCGCCTTTTACGGCAAGCATGGGTTGCTGAAGACCTATTTTACCCCGGATCTTCACGGGTCAAAGCATACCTAACCATAAGGACGGTAAGGGGAGTTTGACTGGCAAGGTGTGCCCAACCCCAAGGATCTTGAATGGGTGTATGCCCCGGGTGTGTGATCGGAAAGGGTGACCTATCTTAAACTCGGTCCGCGCTCGTTAAACTGCAGTCTTGCGTTATGATGTTTACAATGTGCGCGAAAACTGAGTGTCTACGGAATATGGAAAGACTTACAGCGGAAGAATTCATGTTTGGCTTGGGCGCTTTTTCCATTTCGTCAGGCATGCGTTGTTACTCAACATGTGTCATCTGTACCACTGTCACACAGGTTAAGATTTTAATCAAATCACGTCAACATTGTGTACTCATAAAGTCGCAAAATGATAGCAACTTTAAAAAGGAAGTAACGAATACATTTACGATTGTCGTAAAATTACATATAGTTTGCCTTTATTTTCTTTCGCCATCACAATTTCCAATATTTTTTTGTCTTCTTGTTGCGAGAAGTATACGTGTCATTATCATTATTTCAATATTACAGATACCTTTAGAAAATGAAATGTCGTAAGTCTTTAATACCATTGACGGCAGAGACTCGTAAGATGGCGGCTGGTCGGTAGCTGTGTCGAGAGAGCTGTTGTGAAAATGTACTGATTATTTCATATTTAACTTTATCGCCTGCATTTTTTGTCATGTCTTATGTTATATGCATGTGCTTATTATACATATGTCAATAAGATAGTATTTATTTTAAGTTATATTTTGAAATATATTGCTTGACCTAGTCTAGATCATATGAGATTCACTGTAGACTATTGCAGTATCTTCAACATGCTTAGATTAACAGTAAAATAGAGGAACATCAATATTGTCAGCACCACTAACTTTCTCTTTGTATCCTCTAATATCTGTAAGATGTTTTTTAAACATAATGTTCTGACACATCTCCAGATAAGGTTTTGAGCCATACAGTATTTACTCTGATACTCACATGTTATCATTCACACTGGGACAGACAGAATTGGGCGTTTGATACCATTCGATTGGGTTTCACCAAAGAGATGATGCATTGAACTTCATCCCTTATGGCATTCTCCCACATCAAGCTGAAATGCTGTGATATCTCGGAAATATTGTTCAGAGCAGCATTATCCCATCTCACTCACTGAACCCATACTTTGTGAGAAGTGTCTCATACTTTCTCAAACATGATATTTTATGTAATGCTTGAAGCAGCATGCCAACCACAATGTTGTCCTAAACTTGATCATGTTTATGTATTCTGTAAATCATGAAATTGCGCTTGCATGAACTGTGTGATTTGCTTTTGATTACTTTATAGATATTAGGCTGAACAAACATTCTTTGTTCTCAGGTGCTGAAGCATCAGAAAAAATAATCCACAGGACATTCATTTCCGCTTTATGACAATAATAACAATGCAGACCTTTATTAAAATATTCAACCAACACACCCTTTTCAAAAGAAAACAGGGTCATATCTAGGAGTTTGAAGAGGTCAACCGTTGCCCTAGGTCTACAGCAAATGTTGCTGTGGACAATCCCAGGTTTTTAACAGAAATTCACGATGCAGCTATGTTACAAAAGAGTGAGTGGAATAAGGACTATTTCACAAATTACTACTTTAAATGGATTGTCACCAGTCTTAATCATGACCCCATGGGGATTCAGGATATTAATAGGTCTCCAGCAGCCTATGATTTAATGGATTGGGTGGTCTGGCTTGGTGACCATAGTGACTTGGTTGATTGTGCATCATTGTACTCCGATCGTCACAGTATCAGACACTGGTTTGTATGTCTTATTTAAATCACTGTCAGGGGGCACGGGTGGCCCAGTCGTCTAAGGCGCCGCGATTCGCTGTGCAGAGTTGCGTCCCTTGAACACGCCTGAAACCTATGATTGTGGGTTCGAATCCCGGTTCGCCCCGATTATGTTTCTAGGTTTGTCAGCACCATACCCGTGCTCGTGGGTTTCACCGAAGTGGTAAACGTCTAAGACCTGCATCACTTCGGGCTTTCCTCCCACATTAAGCTGACACGCCGTGATATAACTGGAATACTGTTAAAAGCGGCGTTAAACCAAACTCACTCACTCACTCACTAAATCACTGTCATGTGATGAGAATATTGCAAAGTGTGGCATTAAGTAACAAACAAAGTAGTAATCAGTAGACATTTGTAGGATGATAGCTATGTTCCATGGATGTCCTTTTCACAGTTTCATGATTTATACTGATTATAAGAACAGTCGTTGATTTATGTAACTTAGAAGGCAATAACTGTGATCATCATGATCATGTCGTTTGTCATCAGGTAAGAACTGCTACATGTACAACAAGCATGATGTGAAACTAGTGTAGAAATACCAGAATTGTAGGAACAGTATCAAAATATAGGACAGTGCAACCTAAAGGTATAACTCTGCTGGATACTACTTCACTTATGCTTATCAGTTTAACATCAATGACCGGTCTAACTAACATATTATAGTTGGAATGCATAGCATCTCTGCCATAGAAGAAAGTGATACAAGCATTTTCTGTTTGCTTCATTTAACACGTATGACTGTTCTCCTAAAATTCAAACTCCTGGGCAGTACACTTTCATTCACACAAAAATAAAAAGCAGCCACATGTTTAGAAATCATTTTCTTGGAATCAATAGCTTTTTGTTTTCAGCCTCTTATTCCACCATTTTGACTGATAAGCCTACAACATGTAGAATGAAACTATGGTTCTGTGTTGATGTTACTGGTTGAGTGTGGTGGCCCAGCTTCTTCAGGAGAGTTGTGTCCCTTAGTGAAAACTAAACCAGGACTCTATGACTTTGGGTTCAAATCCCAGGGGGGGGTACGGGTGGCCCAGTCGTCTAAGGCGCCGTGATTCGCTGTGCAGAGTTGCGTCCCTTTTGGGCACGCCAGAATCCTATGATTGTGGGTTCGAATCCCGGTTCACCCTGATTATGTTTCTAGGTTTGTCAGCACCATACCCGTGCTCGTGGGTTTCACCGAAGTGGTAAACGTCTAAGACCTGCATCACTTCGGGCTTTCCTCCCACATTAAGCTGACACGTCGTGATATAACTGTAATACTGTTAAAAAGCGGCGCTAAACACAACTCACTCACTCAAATCCCAGATTTGCCCATCCATGTTTTTACAGCACCATGTTATTGCTTGTGGGTGGTAAATTTCAACGACCCATGGCGCTTTGGGCGTTCATCCATTAATAAGCAGACATGATGTGATATGGCTGAAATACTGTTTAAATCGGTGTCATACCAGTTAGTTCCTGATACTGCTGAAGTATAATTTTAACAACTTCCAGTGATTCTCCTTACCTGTGATACACTAACACACAATGTCTATGCTTACAAGCTTATGTATGAAGTACTAACCCTGATTCTCATAGTAACATTGAACAATCCTTTCCAGTTGTAGAAGAAGCATGCTATCTGATATGGAAGGTGTATGAAATGTATGACAATGAGTGATGCACCCAGCATGAATTGCCTACCTAGTGGAAGTAGTGGTATTCCAAGTACCACAGTGGCGCCCCCTACGTCAGGCGCGCCACCTAAACCAAGCATTGCAGACACCATTAGACAAGTGGAAAGTCAGATAGCGGTATGTGGTGACGGGTGGCACTGGTTTCAAACAAACTGTTTTGTTCATTCGTCATCATCATCGTTGCCATGACATCCAGATCATGAATAATCATGAGTTGGAAGACATGAAGAGAATCATATCATGGTCATAGTGTATGTTTTTCAGCCCTGTTGTTGAGTATGAAATGGAGACAGCTTGTCAAGTAGCACTGTTGATGTCTCTTTGTGTTTGTTATGTTTTGTTCATGTTGTTTGAAATATTTTTTCTTTTGTGTGTGTCTGTGATGTACTGTCATAGTTATCATTATGTCTGAAAGGGGGACTAGACTCGGGGAAATTTACAGTTCTAGCATCTTCTATCCACTTTCTTTGCTTGCTAACATGGCTAACCAGGGATTTATTGAGGATTCCAAACTAAGTACCCTTGGCAAGCCAATTGGGACAAAGTCATTATTAGTATATTGTTCAACATGTTCAAATTTAATTATTTTAAAATCCGTATTTTCATAAATTCAGAGGAATTGGGAAATTTTAAATTCAAATTGGAAATTTTTACTATCATTTGCTGCAGACATGGGGCCGATTATCTGCTCTGAGCAGGTCTTGATAAATCCCTGCCAACTTTAACTTTGTTTAATATGTATGTCATAATCACTCAAACTATCAATGATAACCTTAATTACACAGACCATCATATGATGTCATTACAACTTCTAGACCTTCCTTATGTACCTTGTATTCAGAAAATGGGCACTTGACAATGTTGACCGTGGAGCTTAGTCCCTCTTTACAAAAGATGCTTGTCATGTTCGTGAAGATTTATGCACAGTTATAATGGTTACCATGGATATGATGGTTAAGTTACAATTGCAGTGAAAGATTCATGCCCAGTCCTCCATCATCACCATATGTTAACAATGTTTCGCATACATCATCATCATCATTATCATCATCATCCATTCGTCACCACTCGCCTCTTTCCGTAACCTGCAAAAAGACTCATCCCCCCTATCGATGAATGTTATGTGCAAAAATACAACAAACCAATCAGAATGCGCGTATGATTTCAAGTTCTTCGTCAAAGAATCCCTCAGAAATAATTTTGATTTTACATATGTCTTGCATCTAAAAATATACCCAAGACACAGTTAAATGTGTTTAATCATACTGTATAATTCCGCATGTCCCGATGTGCTTTAAATTGCATCTGAAATATATATAATATATGGGGAAATATATGTGAACCATTACGTAACGAGTTGACAATTGTTTTAGGTATGCCCATTTGCGCTAAGACAGAACCTGGTCACAAAAATGGCCACGAGAGGGGCACGAGTCGCTATTCGGCTTGTCCTGGAATAACACGGGCTGGTCACGAATGCATCATCATCATCATCATCATTATAATCATCATCATCATGTTTAGCGATTTTATTATTTCCAAAGTTTCCATATGGATTTTTGAAGTACAAATTGGTGTAACCATGGTAACAGCACAGTGGATCAACTCGATTGCACTATTTGTAAGTAGCAATCCACAGTCCTTAAGTCAAGTGTCTTCACTGGATTACTCTGTCGACCAAATTCATTTAATGATTGCCTTGATATTGAATGCTACATGACTTCAGGTAGAGGTAGAATGTCGAACCTGGTCTTGTGTGCCAGTCTGTATGAACTAATAAAAACAATGTAAACCATAATCATTTGGAAAGTTAAAAAAATAGTTACAATTGTCACCACATTAGGCACCCTGGGCAAGTAGGAAATTGACAAAGGGCACTTATTAAAATCATAAGCAAGGAGTTGAATTTGTTTCGGAGACGAAGCAGAATGGAACTAATTCACTTCAGACGTCAATGAAAATAAAAATTTTTCGTAATTATTGCAAAGCAATTATGTAGATCTAGCCCTAAATGCTGAAGTTTTCAGTAAAACATCTGTAAAATGGTGTAAAAGTTGGTCAGAAGGCACTCATTGGAACAGGGTGCTTAATATGACAAATATGGTAATATATTTGACAAGATCATGATCCGAGTACAAGTGTCATTGGAAAGATTTCTCCCTAAATGTGTGTGAAACAAAGAATAATGAGGGTCTTGTACCAGACAAAAGGCTCAGGTTATGAGAACCACGAGATAGGTAGGTCACTTTGCCCAGTCCCGGGACTATGTCCACTGTGGAGTATCCCTGAACTCCTTGTTGACCCTCACTCTCCTCCGTGTCTTGCAGTCCTATGGTCCTGGTCCTCACGCTCCACATCAGAAGGAAGAGTTGTCCAAACTCGCATCATATCTCCACAGGGCTAAGCTGGAGCAACAGAAGGTATGGTCTTTTTGTCACATTCTGACATTGTGTTTGGTAGTGGTGGGGACAATGGACCCACTGAAAGCCATGAAAAGTTTTAAGATGTTTATTCTTTACATGAATATTATAAATACCATGTGTACCATTTCTTCAAGGTGATCGATAAATTGGCATTGTCAATGTCATGTGAAAAGTTTGATATATGTTGTACATATATGAATGACAGTATTTTCTGGGTTTTGACAGAAGTCATTTTCTAACTATGCCCATTGATAAAAACTTTCTGGCTACTGAAAAGTAGTGGGTGTCCTTTTGAAATAAGCTTGTTATGAGAATCATTATTTAGATTTTTTTCATGGCCTAACAATGCTAACACTTGCCTAACTGTTCAACTTTAGTGGAGGTTGCGGACTTGACAGTACTTGATAAACAGTAAATACTGCGGTTGGCGTGAGATTCAAATCCAAGTATTTTAGCCATAACCTGGTCTATTATTGCTTTATTTTATAATATAAGACAGCTATGCAAATCAGCTATAAATCATAAAGAACAATGAAGAATGAGGCATGGTTTACTTCAAGATAAAACATTGTTCTATCAACTCGTTGTATATTGCACAACATTATTTTTGTGAGGGTCGATGTTTATGTAACAGGTAATGATACCAGTATGTTTATGTAACAGGTATTGATACCAGTATCTTTATGTAACAGGTATTGATACCAGTATGTTTATGTAACAGGTATTGATACCAGTATGTTTATGTAACAGGTATTGCTACCAGTATGTTAATGTAATAGGTATTGATACCAGTATGTTTATGTAACAGGTATTGATACCAGTATGTTTATGTAACATGTAATGAAACCAGTATGTTTATGTAACAGGTATTGCTACCAGTATGTTTATGTAATAGGTATTGATACCAGTATGTTTATGTAACAGGTATTGATACCAGTATGTTTATGTAACAGGTATTGATACCAGTATGTTTATGTAACAGGTATTGATACCAGTATGTTTATGTAACAGGTATTGATACCAGTATGTTTATGTTACAGGTATTGATACCAGTATGTTTATGTAACAGGTATTGATACCAGTATGTTTATGTAACAGGTATTGATACCAGTATGTTTATGTAACAGGTATTGATACCAGTATGTTTATGTAACAGGTATTGATACCAGTATGTTTATGTAACAGGTACTGATACCAATGTTTATGTAACAGGTTTTGATACCAATGTTTATGTAACAGGTATTGATACCAATGTTTATGTAACAGGTATTGATACCAATGTTTATGTAACAGTTATTGCAGATGATGAGTAGCAACAAGCTGCCTGACAACTCTATGGGCCCTGCAACAATCTCCCCAATGTTAGCAATCCCCCAGACCGCCCAGAACCTGCGTCCCGCCCCCCTGCCTGCCCAGGCAACAACCTCTAATGGAGCATCAGGGGGTGAAGGTCGTGTGCTGGACAAGCGCCGCCTGCAGGAGCTGGTCAAGGAGGTGGACCCTCTAGAACAGCTCGATGATGATGTTGAAGATGTGAGTAATGCTAAATAATGTTCATGCCTGCCTGCTCCGGCTGTATGTCTATTGGTGAAGATTTCGTTCTAATTACAGGGATAGATATGTAACAAAACATGTATGTTTTTTTGGTTTGTTTGTTTAACACCACACTCAGCAATATTCCAGCTATATGACAGCGGTCTGTAAATAATCGAGTCTGGACCAGACAATCCAATGATTGATATCAGGAGCATGGATCCACGCAATTGGAATCGATGACATGCATCAACCAAGTCAGCGAGCCTGACCACAGATCCCGTTAGTCGCCTCTTATGACAAACATATTCGCCTTTTACGGCAAGCATGTGTTGCTGAAGACCTAAGGCAGTTGTATTTTGAAGACTTGCCATGTGTTTTCACATGTTTTTGTTGTTCGTATGGTAAGCATTAACATCAGGTAGTGTTGTGTTGTTAGAATGATCTGCTTCCTAAGTGGAACTTATTTTAACCATGCAATTACTATTTTAACATTTTCTTCCAATTTCTATTTGCATTTTGACAGAATTCAACCGCCAAACTTAAAATAACGTTTAATTTCTGGATTTTCTGTTTTTGCAGATGATTGAATTATAATTTCATCACTTTGTCAATAACTACTAGACATGGTAAAGAGATGACTAGTAAACATGGTAAAGAGAGTATGTCATGAATGATTAGCTGTTAAACACGTGAAGGCATGTTTCTTCTGTACAGTCTTTGTGCCTAGTGTCATCTGTTACCATGATAACTCATGCTGTGTTGCAGGTTCTTCTTCAGATAGCTGATGACTTCATCGAGAATGTTGTCAGTGCATCATGCCAGATTGCCAAACACCGCAAGTCAAACACACTAGAAGTAAAGGATGTACAGCTCTATCTAGGTCTGTTGACACAGTATATCGTCATGGTTGTCAGAGTATATCAGCATAGGTGTCACAGTAAAATCAACATGCTTGTCACAGTATCTCATCATGCTCGTAACAGTATATCATCATGCTCGTAACAGTATATCATCATGCTCGTAACAGTATATGAACATGCTTGTCACAGTATATCATCATGCTCGTAACAGTATATCATCATGCTTGTCACAGTATATCAACATGCTTGTCACAGTATATCATCATGCTCGTAACAGTATATCATCATGCTCGTAACAGTATATCATCATAGATGTCACAGAAAATCAACAAGTGTCACAGTATATCAACATAGATGTCACAGTACATTGTCATAGGTGTCACGGGGTCATGGGTGGCCCAGTCGTATAAGGTGCCACCCTTGGGCACACCAGAAACCTATGATTGTGGATTTGAATCCTGGTTCGCCCCGATTTTGGGTCTAGGTTTGTCAGCACCATACCTGTGCTCATGGGCTTCACCGAAGTGGTAAACGTCTGAGACCTGCATCACTTTGGGCTTTCCTCCCACATTAACCTGACACGCCACGATATAACTGGAATACTGTTAAAAGCGGCGTTAAACCCAACTCACTCACTCACTCACTCACTGATGACTTCATCAAGAATGTTGTCAGTGTATCATGCCAGATTGCCAAACACCGCAAGTCAAACACCCTAGAAGTAAAGGATGTACAGCTCTATCTAGGTCTGTTGACACAGTATATCGTCATGGTTGTCAGAGTATATCAGCATAGGTGTCACAGTAAAATCAACATGCTTGTCACAGTATCTCATCATGCTCGTAACAGTATATCATCATGCTCGTAACAGTATATCGACATAGATGTCACAGTATATTGACATAGGTGTCACGGGGGCACGGGTGGCCCAGTCGTCTAAGGCGCCGCCCTTCGGCACGCCAGAAACCTATGATTGTGGATTCGAATCCTGATTATGTTCCTAGGTTTGTCAGCACCATACCTGTGCTCATGGGCTACACCGAAGTGGTAAACGTCTGAGACCTGCATCACTTAGGGCTTTCCTCCCACATTAACCTGACACGCCGTGATATAACTGGAATAATGTTTAAAGCGGATTTAAACCCAACTCGCTCACTCATAGGTGTCACAATATGTCATCATGGTTGTCACGGTATATCAACCTCGGTGTCATAGTATATCAACATAGGTGTCACAGTATATCAATGCAGGTGTCACGAGCTGATATAGGTGTGACATAGCAGGACTATTGCTGACTGATCCATTAAGCAACATATACTCTCTAACTCATCTATTTGCACTGTTTGTCAACAGAGAGAAGTTGGAACATGTGGGTGCCTGGGTTCGGGTCGGAGGAGATCCGCCCGTTCAAGAAGGCAGCTGTAACAGAGGCTCATAAACAGGTGAGGACGCTGAGGAAACAAGTTGTTCGCCAACTTGAGAAAACCCTCCAGTCAATCATGTTCCCGAGGCAAGGGAGTTAACTGACTATAAAAGTCCAGTTTCCACCCTTGCCGAAGTAGGCTGGTATTTTGATATTCAGATATTTTTTTCTCAACAGTATCTGTTTATGACCTCCATTTTGTGTTTCAGAGAATGGCACTGATCCGCAAGACACTGAAGAAATACTGATCATCTTCCTCCCCCTTCATGCCAACCTCCATTGTGTCAAGCATCATCATGTCAGTGTGTTGATATCGTGGTCCGCCGGGGGCCACACTGTCCCCCCACTGGCTGGCTGTGGAGACCAGTCTGTAGTCATGGACCTCCTCCACAATGTAGCTCTGCCCTAGACTTGCCTCAAGGGAGGATAGGACTTCGGTAGTGCCGATTCTACATCCTTAGGAACACATTATTCAGATCATTTGTATGACCAATTTATTTCTTGTTTTGTGGACGGTCCTACCCAGTACCCTACGTTTTGCAAAACAAAAGAAGTTACACTATATTCTGTGTTTGATTGAAAATATGGTTATTTTTCTTTCCTAGATTATTTGTAAAGCAAAATAATGTAATTCCTGACCTTTAAATGAAAATAATATATCTAATTAACATGTCAGATTAAATTCCAGACTTGTGTCTATGGTGATTTGTCTCTGACAGTTGGGCTGGCAATAATTGTTATAAATGGTCACAAAGAAATGGTAACACGACACAATTATAGACTTCATAATACCTTATGAACCTGAAAAACCCCATAAAAACATATTAGGTTTATAATTATTTCATTATATTGTTGGGGCAGTCAGGTAGCCTAGTGGTTAAAGGGTTGGCTCGTCACGCTGAAGACCGGGGTTCGATTCCCGACATGGGTACAATGTGTGAAGCTCATTTTCTGGTGTACCCAGCCGTGATATTGCTGGAATATTGTTAAAAGTGACGTAAAACCACTCACTCATTATATTGGTGCACTTTTTTTTATGCCCGTCATCAACATCAGTTAAAAAAATATGGTCATGTAATTTTCATAGATGACTCAAAAAGCTATTCGGTCTGTCACAGGGTTCCGAAAATAGTTTTTGGCTGATCGGACATTTCCCGCCTACCTCATATTTGACAGTTACTGTTAGACTCTATCTATCATGAGTTAATAACCATAAACCTATAGTACAAAAGTCAACTGTAGCCAACAGTACAAAACCTTTAAAAGTATGTCATGAAATAATAATCTGGATTGTAAATGATTTTAATTATTTTTGCTGCATAATTGAGCAACATTCAGCTGAGGAAGCCAGTAAAACAAGAAATAATATTGGTCAGACCATAAGTTATTTATTGGTGACTCCTCATACAACAAAATACAAACCACGCGACACAGTCCTGTAGTCCTTGTTAACTAAACATGCTATGACTTTGAAAGTGTGTGAACATTCGTTTAATGTTTTGTGCAGACTAGGGCTGGTACGAGTCCAAATTTAGTATCCGTAAGTATCCTGGGTACCACACTGCAGGTCTCAAGAGTTGGGTACAAAATGTATGATTGGGAATAGTTTGACCGTAGCCCTGGCAAAATGTATTTAGATACATGTATGAAACGATCTGGTCATGCATACACTGAAGTTGACTGAAGTTGTATCTTTATTCAAACCTATAAAGGTAAAAAAGAGTGGTGCATAGTCGGAAAGAAATGCAAACATTAGTCACTTGTAGTGTAATCATGGAGTTTTAGATACTTTTTGTCATTAGACAATATATCACATGACTAACCATGGGTCCGGCTAGACCTGTGGGTACCCGGGTCCTACTCAGTACCCACCCGACCCGAGTTACCTACCCAACCCTAGTAAGTTTATTTTCCATAGAATCTGTTCTTGGGAATGTAATACAGAATGTCAGGATATCATTGGAATAATACTGAAAGTATGACAGCGATAGAAATTGGCACTAGTCCTATAGTCCTTGCTAAACTGCCCTAAAGGTAAGGTATCATAAGGACTGGTAGAAATTGCCCATTATTTAGGGTTTTTCTATATGTTATCATTATAGGGAGGCTAAGGAGGCACAGTTGTCTAAGGTGCCGCAATTCACTGTGCAAAGTTGTGTCCCAGAAAATTTCAGCTTTTGAATCCCGGGTCACCGAAGTGGTAAACATCTGACACCTGCACCACTTTGGGCTTTCCTCTCACATTAAGCTGACATGCCATGATATACCTGGAACAATGTTCAAATCAGCATTAAACCCAAGTCACTCACTCATGCACTCGCTAGTGACTAAATCAGGTGGTCAGGCTCGCTGACTTGGTTGATGCATGTCATCGATCCCAATTGCATGGATCAATGATCATGATATCAATCACTGGATTGTCTGGTCCAGACTCGATTATTTACAGACCGCCGTCATATAGCTGGAATATGGCTGAGTGCGGCATTAAACAACAAACCAACCAACCAACTAGTGACTAAAAATGTTAAAATGTTAGTTTCTATCGCTGTATGATGGAGTCGAGATGGTTCCTCTCATAAGACGGTGTGAGTACTGTATAACCTTGCAGTAAGAGGTCCAGATGAACTCCCATGAACAAACTCCAACCAGCCAAGTATTCTCTCAGTTGGAGTTAAAGTGGTTGTTCCACCTGCCAGTTATTTCCTTTTGCTAGTCAGAGTGATGGAGAGCTGGACATGATCAAGTTATCTTCAAACTTGACCAGAAATGTTGATGTGGTGGGGATGACAGGTTTGTGTTTCACAGACAGGGACAACTGAGCAGTCATGTTAATATAAACAAAAACTCACTGAATCTGTAAATTGTGTTTAGTGTTTTTAGAGTAGAGTAGATTTTTCCTGAATAATATTTTTGTTTTCACAGTCAAAAGAATGATTTGAAGTTGCAGAAGTTGAACATGTTAATGCTTGTTATGAAAAATGATTGAAAGGATGATAACTTCGGGCAGTGAGCCCACACACATCTTCCCGAGACTATAAAAGTCCAGTTTCCACCCTTGTCGAACTAGGCTGGTATTATGAAGTTACATTTTGACTGGACTAACGAGTCTATGCATAGTCCAATCAAAATCGCACAACGAAATCAAAATCCAGTTCGTAAACTGCCGCGCAGATTTCGGTCGATGGCAGGATTTGCAAAGAATGTGCACCACCAACTCGTTGTCAGCAGATATTTTCCAAACCTTATCATGTTTTTAATCAAGGTGCCCGCGTGATTTGATGCACTTCGCGATGTGAGACCCGTTTTATCACAACATATTTCTTGATTAACAATCAGATCGTCTTGACTGGGCGCCACCGTTTTGTTTGAAACAAATGCAAGTGATGGAATCGGATTGGTCCATAGGAGAGGCTTTAAAGGGACATAACTCGTAATGACCACTGGTGGCGCTACGATCGAGCCCAGGAATTCCAGCCAAGTTCGGCAAGGGCGGAAACTGGACTTTTAAAGTCCGTTAACTCTCTTGCCTCGGGAAGATGGCCCACACATGTAATGGCTTTGTCTCACTCATCAGTAACTATGCCTTAACATGCTTAAGGCCAAAAAAAAGATGTGTGTATTCTGTTTCAGCCCATTCACAATTAGGGGAGTTAGATCAGGGGTTGTTTGGTTTGTTTTCGGGGGGGGGGATTATTCGAACATATTGAAACAGGTTAATTTATAGTTTATAAGTAAAAGCCTACTTTAAAATGAATATATGACTGCTAATCTTTAGTGTATAGTGAAGCACAACAAACTTGCACTAGACAGTACTTGGTGCAGCTCAAGTAAAACTAGAATCAGGGTCCGGAACACACTCCGATGCAGTGGTGACTCAGCATAACACCACTGCCACAGGCTAATTTGCATATCACGTGACCAGACTTTTCTCTTGTTTGTATACAAACGCGCTTTTTCAGAAATCAATATAGAACGGACTAATGCAAGTCTTTGGGGGCGCTTTACATATTGTTTTGCTTAATTATATAGATATGCTACTACAACTGCGACAGTGAGTTGCATGACAACATATATTTATACATCAAAGTGACAGTATCGCCAGCTCTCCGTTGGGTCCGATGACAGCACGTGGAACCGTACAACCAATGTAACCAAAGGATAACTACGCAGAAACAAGTAGATTTTCACGTTTTAGGATACTTTCTCAATGAACCGTAACCATTCTTTGACATTTGTTTATGAAAATGCGTAGATTTGTCAAACATGAAACGGATGAAAAGCATATGCACTAACTTGAATGGACTGTGAAAGATGTGACGAATCGTCACATGGCGCTGGCCTGTGGCAGAGGTACTATGCTGGCTGGCTGCCGGCCGCATGGAACTCTGGGTAGGAGAGTGGGTCTGGAAACCGGAAACACATTTCCTTTTGTTTTTTTGCCTTAGCAAGAAACCGCTTTGACCTTGCCTTCAAATATGTGATGTGTGCAAGTAAAAACATATTTCAACCACACAATAGTCAAAACAGTATTTGCAAGGAGATATGGCGTGGCATTATTTTCTACTCAGGGTGAATTTGACTATTATGATGTCATTTCACAACTTAACACTTGTTTTGAAACATTTTAAATATGTCTAACCAGACAACACATTTCTTCATAAGAATTCAAAAACCATCTCATCCTAAGTTATCCAGTGTATTATGTGTACATTATCATGATGAATACCCAGGACCCTATCACTTGGGAAGGGGGCGGTCGGTTAGCCTAGTGGTTAAAGTGTTCGCTCGTCACGCGAAGACCTGGGTTCGATTTCCGATTTGGTTACAATGTGTGAAGCCCATTTCTGGTGTCCCCTGCCGTGATATTGCTGGAATATTGCTAAAAGCGGCATAAAACCATACTCACTCACTCACTCACTTGGGAAGGGACTTCCATCTTCCTCCCTTAATAGTAACTTCTCACAGAATGTCTCGCATGTGAGTGTTTTCTTATTTGATTATCTAGATTTTACAACTATTGTTAGTCCATGTTGAAGAATAAAAGCAGTACTGTCGATTTGAGGCCATGGGCCAGATGATTTTAAGGTTCATCCTAAATGATGTTTTCTTAGGCTTAAAAAAATGAAAAAAATGGTTCTCAGGCAATGGTTTTTGAAAATATAGTGTGGGTGGGCGGTTCCTTTTTTTTCTTTTTTTTCTTTGTTTGTTCAAACTGGGGAAGTAAACAAATACACATTTGTGTAGCCAAATAAACAATTCTGTACAATTAACCAGGGAAAGGGCCTCCCTACATAAATATATTCCTTGATGATTAAACTACTTGAATACAGTATTTGACTACTGTTGGACCTGGAATATTTAAGGATTTTTTTTATATATAAAAAATGAAAATAAAAACGAAATGTGCGGCGAACTTTATGATGATGCGGCAGTGCATGAGAACCAAGTCTATTGTGGGTTTTTTTAGCCTTACATTATGAAGTATAATGCTGCTAAATGCCTCTTTGACTAGTCATTCACAATCAGCTTTATAACATCTGACACTTGCTGTTGAAGATATATCGACACTCATCTGTCAAAAGTGGGCGTCACTCATTCTAGAGATGATTCCAATATGTGGTTTAGGATATGGTTGTATGCAGGCACAATCTACGTATCAGACAGCCACATGCACTGTACCATTACAGGTGACTGTGTCACTCTTACCCCTGAACATTTTTAAACCATGACACTTTTTCACAGGGGCCATGAGGCAGGTGTCGACATCTCTACCCATCTTCCCGAGGCAAGCGAGTTAACTGACTATAAAAGTCCAGTTTCCACCCTTGCCGAACTAGACTGGTATTATAGAGTTACATTTTGGCTGGACTGACGAGTCTATGCATAGTCCAATCAAAATCTCGCAACGAAATCGAAATCCGGTTCGTAAACTGTCGTGCAGATTACGGTCAATTGCAGGATTTGCAAAGCATGTGCACCGCCAACTCATCAACAGATATTTTCCAAACCTTTTCATGTTTTTAATCAAGTTGCTCGCGTGATTTGATGCACTTCGCAATGTAAGACCCGTTTTATCACAATGATAGATCTTGTGTAACGATCAGATCGTCTTGACTGGGCGCTGCCATTTTGTTTGAAGCAAGTGCAAGTGATGGAACCGGATTGGTCCATAGGAGAGGCTTAGAAGTGACATAACTCATAATAACCACTGGTGGCGCGACGATCAAGCCCAGGAATTCCAGCCTAGTTTGGCAAGGGTGGAAACTGGACTTTTAAAGTCAGTTAACTCTCTTGCCTCGGGAAGGTGATCTCTACCATGTTACCTGTAGTGTGTGGATCATGTCGATGTTCCAGATGCATGTCGTAAGAAAGGTGGTGTTGTTTCAGCCTGATGATAAG